CCACTTGCACATAATCACCAACACGAATGGGTTTATCCAATTGAACCAATCCTTCACTTTCTGATCGTAGCTTAGGCACCCTTTCTACCCACTTTGGCTATATGTTTGCAATCATGGCTATAGATCTCACAGGTTAGACAAACCAATGGCTTGTTTAGATATTCAACTTCCACATCAAAACAGGGATCATCATTATGGTATAATCAGATGTGAGTCGGAAAACCACAATTAGATTGACAAAAACTTTAGCAAACCCTAATTGATTTCCTACTCTAGTCGTCTGGTCCATCCAAACAGGATGACCTATTATACTAGCCACCTATTCAAGACCTTAAAAAAAATGATATTCGAGGGGAACGCCTCAGATACGTATCCAGATTTGTAGAATCTCCACTAGAGAAGCAACAGGTTGAATTTCAGGCTCCTACTATTGGAAAAGATATGATTTCCTTGGAAGAGCGAATGGGTCTTCCAGCTTTGATTCTTTTACTTAGTTAGGGTAAAAAATTTGTAGTCCCTCTGCAAAGCACAAGCATTGACTAGTTTTCTTTGAAAGAAATTAAAAAAAAAAAAAAAAGAATAGTACAACCAGATATACTTCCCTTGAGACCCTAACATATCACATCTACTATTTTGTATCTTCCTACCTAAGTTACATCTCATTGTAATGCCCAATTCTAACATTGAGATTTAGCACATTGACACTCTCTAACTTCAGCAACAAAATTTAAGGGGGAAATAAATGAAAACTGAATAGTTTATGTCATTCTCAAACTACTCCCCAGATTCCATCGAATTCAAACCCCAGCTATACAACTAAGGAAAGCGTCGCCATTCTCTTAATTAGCATCAAGTATCAACATCGGTATATGTTCATATCTAGCTACAACAACATTAACAAAAAAAACAAAAGAATTCCTATCACTATAGTTTTCCAGATGGAACTTTATTAGGTCTCCAAGGGTTGGCAATAGTACTTGATGCGCCCGTTACCGTGGACATTGCATCGTCTGTAACCGATCCCCTATCATAAGAACCACCATAATCTGCCGACATGTCTAATCTCTGCTGCTGCACAACCAGAACCGAAGCTTGGCACTGAGAATCGGAAGCGACCAAGATATCCCCAACAAAGCCCAACTCAGGGAACTCCGAATTCCACTCCGCCAATCCTTTGTATATCACTGATTCCCTATCGTGATGCCTCCCTACCAAAATCAAGTCAAACCAATTCTCACAGCGTCGAATCACGTTCACCATCTCCACACTATCGCTCACGTTCTCTTCCATATAAACGTGATGCCTCCTCGCGACGGTGGCGATCTTGAAGTCGCAGACGAGTTGATAGTCCAGCTCAAAGTCGACACAGGAGTTGACCGTGGTGGGCTGGTAGTCCGTCTCGACAACATGGACCAGCGTGACTCCGACGCTAGGCTTCTCTCCCATGCGCATTGCGTACGCCAACGCCTCCCTGTCGTCTCTCCCCTGGATGAAGATGACCCCAATGCTGCACAACAAAGCGGTGGCCGTCTGGATGAGGCACCTCTGCAGCGTGCCTCGATCGACGTAAACCCCGACGGAGCAAGGAGACTTGTGGAGGATGTGGCGGTTCACCGACCTGACTTTCGGGTCGTCCTCGAACCCGTGAATCTTCCACTGCCTGTGGAAAGGCAGGACCAGCATGGACGCTCTCTTCTCCAGCGAAATCCTGTGGACCTCCTCATGAACCGTGTTGAAAGGCGAGATGGCCGTGAATAGATTCACCGAGAGGTTGCCCCCCTGGTTCTGTTCCTCGTAGAATCTGAAGGCGTTGACGATGTGGCTCGAGCTCTGGGCCTGGGAGCTGATGGTGCCACGGCGGTGGTACACTAGTATAGGGGACAACCGCCCCGCGAGCTCCATAAGGTGGATGACGTAGCAGCAAATCGGGGACTTGGTGGCCGGGTTGGACATCTCCAGAATGCTTATGAGGGAAGGAGTGCTCTCCGGGTGGTAGATGCAAACTAGCATCCTCAGCTCCATATTTTGGGTGGTGTGTTGGATGCCTCTTTTCCAAGATGACTTGAGACGCTTCGATGGCTGGTACAACAGTTTGATTAATGGGGTGAGCACTCCTGTCACTACCACTATTGCTGCCACCATGAAACTGTACGTTTGATCATCAAGAATCTACAACAATATATAAATAAAACCATGCATCATGACTAATTAGTTTCGAAAATTGAATATATGACTCATTTATCTTAAGTACAATCCAAGTACCATATCGGAAATACAAGGGAAGAAATCTTTGTATATAAGTGTCCACCTAACCCAATTAGTACGTGGCCTTTTGGAGACCCAAGAGTAAAACCGTGAGGGCTTGGCCCAAAGCGGACAATATCGTAATAATGAGCTCATTGATTATGACAAGTGGGGTACACCAAACTAATGTCCACCACCTCGAACCAAAACCAGGCTCTGATACCACTTGTTGAAATCGGGTCGCTCAATTAGTACGATATTATCCGCTTTGGGCTAAGCCCTCGCGGTTTTACTCTTGGGTATGCTCCCTAAAAGACCTCGTACTAATGAGCTTGGTAGACACTAATATACAAGGGTTCCTTCCCTTGTATTACTGATGTGGTACTTGGATTGTCCCATAACAATCTAATTATATCAATAATAATAAAAAAAGAGTGTTTAATTAGGGAACTACGCACGAATAGCAAGCGTGCTTGTTGAAGCATCATGACATCGGTAATGCCTTGGGAGCTCATGACGAGTCCCAAAGAAAGTGCATCCATGAGAGGAATCTTGAAGTACATGGAAGGCACAATCACAGCCACAACCTTCCCCATGAAACTAGTCAAGCCCAAGGTAGCCACCGAGGTGACAATGCTGCAATCAACCGAGAAAACATTCACCCCGGCCACGCTGTACACAAAGTAGCTAGGGAGCAGAATCCAAGTCACGAACGACTCCAGCCTCTGCACTATCGCGGTCCCCAGGGGCGGACCATCGGGCACCGCCAGCCCTAAAACCACCGGGCCCAGCAAGAAATGTTGGCCGCAAACCTCCCCTGAGAGAGCCATCACGAGGACCATGATGAAGATGATAAGAATGTAGCCCTCCCTTATGGGCTTCCCTTCCGGCGTGTTCCGGATCATCACGTACATGATCGGCCTCAGCACCAAGATGATGAGCAACAACAAAAGCAGAGACGACAAGTAGGTCCACACCATAGCCGTCGAAGATACGAAGTTGTCTTGTCGTGCGATGAAGATGAAAATGACCATCACCCAACTGCAAGTCCCGCTCACCATCGACGACGAAACCGCCAGCTGGCCCAACTCGGAGTTAAGGAGGTTGAGGTCGGCCAGGAGGCAGGTGATGACGTGGAACGAGCTGACAGACTGGAATGCAGCCATGTGGTACAAGAGGTTGGGAGGCACGGGGCCCGAGTTAGGGTTTCGCTTCGCGAGGAAGCTGGCCGTGGTGAGGTTGAATGTTAGGGGGACGAGGAAGGAGAGGAATCCGATGAATTCTGCTTTCTTCCCGGCTCGAGTCAGCATGCTCATGTCCATTTTAGCTCCCACGACAAACATGAATAGTAGGCAACCCAAAAAGGCGAATGTTTCGTTGATGTAGAAACTCTTTAGTGGATATAAAGCTCTCAAGATTTCATTATTGTGTCCCCACACGGATGGTCCCAGAAAAAACCCTGCCTGATTACAATCATCATCACCACACAAGGAAATTAACAAGACAATATGACAGATAGAAAATTAATTAGGTCTGAATTAAAGGAGGCTATTAAACAATATTAATATGTTTGATGGAACATTTGAAGTTGACCGACTTACCAACATCATGGAAATGAAGGCACTTTCTCCAAGAGGGGTGAGGATTGCATGGATGAGAAGGCTGAGGGAAGCGCTAACGATGAGTTGTGCCATGAGGACAGGGGCAGGGAAATGGAAGGGATTGTCCCCAAAGAACAACCCTCTCGATCGAACCTGGTGCATCGTTTGACACACCCATGTTATGTTTAGAGCTTCTTCTAATGATGTTGTGTTGTTGCTCATCGATCTCTTCTTTCACGGATCTCTCTTATGATACAAGCGAAAGAATTTTCAATTTTTTTCCAGAATTTTCAAACCTTTGTCGAGAAAAAATTAGATTCAAGGTTAAGGAATACGAAAGAAGAAAGAACATAGAGATTGACAGGATCAAATTTTTCTCAAGAGAGATTCTCGATCCTCAAACATTCAATAATTTTTCCTTTTGTGCAAAAAGACAGAGAGAAAAAAAAATTCTACCTTGCTGAAGAAAATAATTTTATACAGAAAATGAACACATTGAAAAACTCTTTTCTCTTTCAACTTTGTTTAGCTATTGCTGAAAGGACACTTGTGTATTTCACTTTTTCCTAATATGATGTGAGATAGATCAATTAGTTTCTTTCTGCGAATTCTTCACTTTTTCTCTCATGAAAAGAAAATTTTCATCGAATTTCAATCATTGGTGCAATACGTGTAGATCAATAGTTTGACCACGTTGGTTCCCCGATCGACCTTGAGGTGCAATCACGGGTTCAATATCTTTACACCACTCCCCACAATGTTGGGTTGAGGTATGAAGATAAATTTAACCCTAGCTAGTCCACTACTCCATGGCATGGCCGACGAATTTTTTTATAACGTAAACATTTTCATCGCCAGGTCAACCACAACAAATAGGCGATTGAGTGTTCTTTTCATTTGCAACGGTTGAGTCTATGCTGTGTGATTGACTATTTTCTAAATGTGACGATTATTATCTCCAAATTACGGTGACTTGAAAATGATCATAGGCATACCCATTAAATCCAATTAAAAAGAAAATAATGAGTTAAAATTATATTAGTTAGATTTTATTTTCTAAATTATTATCTCGCATACTAGTTATCAATAATGATCTCAAATAAAATGCCCAAGCCTTAGGAATGCTCAAAGAGGCCCATGCCTTGTCTATATAAGGGTAACTCAATACACATTCAAATGTACAATGTAAGATAAGTGATTAAATTACAACTCCAGGTTTCGAGAATATCCCCATAATATCTCCATTCATAGGTTTTTCCAGGCATGTATCATTTATACTTATCATTTCCCAATTGATGTTTTACATATGTGATTACCAAGAATCTCAAAAGAAAAACGAAAGAGGAAGCCACCCTAATTTCATCACGCGTCTCTAACTCTAGCCCTAGCTATTCTCTTGAAGTCTTCATCCGTCAAGTTTCCCCTTCCTGCACTCGACAAGGCAACGCTTAAACCTCCTCTCTCACGTCCTTATTTGCCGCCGCTCCTAGCCTCTTACATAGCATCTTCACCAGAACACCACCCCTCCTTGACCCTTTGTTGCCTTCCTTCCGTTCATCGATTCTTTTGCTCATCGTCCGTTCAACAGTGTACTAGTGGTAATAACATTCTGCTCATACGTCTTTCTTTTATATGTGGATTTTTATAGTTTAGTAGGTGTTTTGGAGATTAATAATTTAGTGTTGGATTATTTATTGGTACTTTGTTTATGGAACTTCGTAGGAATTGGATGATCTAATTAAGATTACCAGTTGTTCTTTATTAGTTTCATCATTGATTAGGTTTGATGTTTCAACCCAGTAGTTATATGTTTTTGTTGAATTCAAGTGTGTTAATTTAGTTATAATCATAATTAGATGTACGGAGCGGGGATTACTCTCGGCTATCCAAAATCCTCGGGGATGGGGATGCAAAATCTCCTCGCGCATGGGGATGGGGAGGGAATGGATTTGATAAATGAAAATGAGTATGAGGATGGGTTTAGTACAATCCGTCTCAAACCCAACCCATTGTATCCCTATTTGCATATCCTACAAACACCACATCCTATCTCCAAGCACCAACGAATTCCAGCCTTGAGCACTAATCGTAATGGGTTATGCTTTGTGCAGCAAAATGTTTGATGGGGAGAGGAAGTCGATGGATATGTTAATATGAGTGTAGTCTTGCGTTTTGGTAAAATTAGAAGGAACATAATTGGAGAAAAAATTATTATTCAATGATTCCGAAATAGCTTATGGGGATTAGCTATTTATAAAATCCTCAATTGCATGTTATTAAAATCACTAATTTTAAAATATACTATTTTCCTGAACGAGTGGTTTAGTTCAAATTAAGGTCAATGAGAGATAGTAGTGAAATCTCACATTGAAAACCCTCATCCAAACGACCACTTTATGTATTTGATTAGTCCGTACTAGGGGTTTTGTATTCTCCAAATAACATGTTATTGTATTTTTTTTGTTACAATTATGTCATTCTTTTTTGTAAATCTCAAACTATCCTATACTTTGTGGTCACACTTTTAGTTACATTCCACTATTTGACCCAATTAACTTTTTCCTCTTCCGGTTGTGGTCAATAGGGGTAGATTCCAACCTGGTAACGCCTTCTTTGGTTGCTAATCGTCGTCGGTGAGAAATAAGAAGATGGTTGATCTCAAGTAAATTTCATGTTACTTCCTCAGTGGGTGATGGTTTTTCATTATGAAATCACAGAGAAAGAAGAACAGAAGGAGATCATGGTGAGTTGAACTGGTGTTTCTTCATCTGGGATTCAATCAGTGTTGATGTTCTCTCTTGGTCTACTATATTCTATCTGAACACAAAAGGTATCCCCCCAATCTTCTCTTTCGGGCAAAGAATCAAATTGAAGTCTCCAACAATAGCAAATGAAATAGCTAGGCAAACCATATTGTATCTATCACTGAAATGAGATACTTTTCGTTTGGTCATTACAACTAAAATAAACAAAGATCAACGAATAGGAAAAATACTTCAAACGAATTTCGATAGAAATATGTAAAACGTTAGTACAAATCTTTGAGACCAAAAGGTTCTTAGGGGACCAAGCTACTCTAACCACCTGTCGGCCCAACAGGATTAACCACATGACAATCAAAATAACCTAAAGAATAAACTGAACTTTCAATAAAGTCATGATTGTTTCTAGTTTCAGACAATAAAAGAAGGAAGGAACATGCGATCGAACTCATATAGATAATGATTGAATCATCAAGGTTGGTCCTGAACCTTGAGAATTCCTAGCTATGATAGTCACTTGTCCTTGTCAATCACTGTTGGCCTACTTCATAGGGGTTGATTCTTCATTCATTCCATATGAAATACACATGCATCACTACTTCCTCTTGTAGAACAACATCCTCCATCTCTACAAACGATCTCTTGAGTTGGCCCACATCCATATCCTCATTAGTGAGTTCATGTGGAAATATGGTCTAGGGCTATCTATTCCAGGACCACCATCCTCAAAATTTGAGTCCCTCCTCAATTGAACAGCATTTCCCTTTCATTTTGTCTCGCGAGGCAAATGTTTCCATTTAGAGGTTCTACCCCTTCTTGGTTCATCATTGACCTCCGTGATGCAAAGTGGAGGCAGTGACGACATAGCCCAAACTATTGTAGCTTTAATTGGATCATTGATTTAGAATTAAGCGAATCTATGAACACTCTGTTCACGAATGAGAGAAAATGGAGGGTGGAGAAAAACTAGGAAAAATGGAAGGATTCAAAAAAATTGTCATGTTGATAAGTTTTGCCACAATACATGTGAAGCCCTCTCCACAAGCTTCCTCATTGGATACCCATTATGCGTGCAATTTCTGCTCGTACTTCCTCCACATATATCCATCATCTAGAATATTAATATTGCTCGTCGTTTGTACCATCATCCGAAGCGTGATCAATTTCACGCGTCGGAAGTCTCGAACTCAAAGATAAATCAACTACAAATCTTAAGAAGAAGCAATAAAATTACAACTAAATTATTATTAATATACTGATTTCTTATTCATGAATAAAACATATAAAAAAATACATATTTATCAGACAAATCCCATAAATCATTCCCCTCTCAATTAAGGTAAACTAATCTTAAATCAACAAGTAAATAATAACTTTCTAAGCAAAACATTATTAATAAGAATAGTCCTAAACATATACTAATATGAATATCCTAGATTAAACAAATAACCCAACAATCAACTAATACAAAAAATACTAATATAATAACACTATAATTGGCAATGTGGGCCTTGGAATGCATTAATGCATCAGCCCTCTCCTTAAAAGAATTTTGTTCCCGAAGTTCGGACATCTCAACCAGGATCGAGAATGAAGATGCTTCCCCACTTGTTATTGACGAGAATGAGGCTTGATGACGAGCATGAACTACCCCAACATATTCTAACATGACTACCTTCACAATGAGGAGAATGAAATATTAACCTATGCCTATCAGATGAGGACTTCCTTTCCTTCATGGAGAGGAGGAGACTTTTTCAAGATTCACCCATCTTTTACATTCTTTGGATAAGAAAATAGAAGGTCTCCTTCTTAGGGTTCCCTCATTTCGTCAGTACCCTAGATATTTATAGTGACAGTTGGGAATGGCAAACCCAATGTCAACAATGATATCCTCTTTATCTCCATCATGAACATTTGCACTGAAGAATATGGGGTATTTGTTGATATTAACTTCATTTTTAGTTATTTCTCCATAATCCTTAATGTGGTCCAACATTCTCTCAACCTCCTCCTATTGATTAGCTTTTCCGAAGATAACTGAATCATCTACAAAGAGGCCAAGAGTGAGGAGGATGATCGAGCTTTATAATTTTGTACGATCTTTACAATTGCATTTTCAATAAGAAATGTTAGAACATTAAACATTAAAATGATCAAAAAAGAGAAGGGGATAGATGGTCTCCCTGACCAATGCCCCGAGATTGGTAAAATGGCTCTATGGTTTCTCTGTTGAAAAGGATGGAGAATTTAACTGAGCAGATATATGAGCTGACCTACTTGCACCATCGATCATGAAACCCATATTTACTTAGTAAGTTTTCCAAGCAATCCAGTCGACTATGTCATACACCTTTCTTATATGCAAATTAAACATCACATCTTGCCTCCTACCCAAATTGTGATTTTTGAAGTGGTGGGGCTGATATGATTCCAAAATGTTGCCATTCGAGGCTTCGCTGGATTGGACAAGAAGCAGGGTTAACGAGGGACAAAGAACAACTAATTTGGCTAAGTGTTTTTGACGTTTCAGGTTGCTCATTTTGGAGGCTTGGCTCTCTCGATTTTCTCCATGGAAATTCTGGTTCGACGGCTTGTATTGAAGGTGGGAAGGTCCTTTACAATGTGGAAGACTTGACGGTTGAAGGTGAAGCCTGGAAGGTCGTGATCAAAGCCATCCAAGTGCCTAATGCGAAACTGAGAAGTTGTCCGATTTTTACTAAGGAAAAACACGAGTCTGAGGAGCTGAGGCTTCATATATGGAGTTTGAGAAGGAACCAGGAGGTGATTCAGGCTGGGAAAAATAGAGTGAAATGTTATAAACCCAGAACGGGCATTGATTGATCTCGACTTGGCTGGGAAGGCAAGGATCGAAGGGTCCAAAGATGCTAGCTGGAGGTGCCAAAAATCTGAGCTCCATTCGGATTCCATGTTCTTTGCGGAATTACTTGTTAGTTCGTTTCCCAGTTGAATTAGGTTAACTATAGTCCTAGTATTAGTTTGTTTGTAATTGATTAAACCTATAAAAGGCCTCGTTCTCGAGTTTTAACACATAGACTTGATTTATGAAGAAACCCCCAAATTTTCCCAACGTTTGAGTTGTGAATTGTCTTGGTTTTGGTTGTGATCAAAACTTGCTGAATCTCGGCCTATTAATCAAGCTATCCCACTCGATTATATCAAAGGCATCCTGATAGCGATTGTGCCTCCTCCCAGGTGTGAGGATTCCCTCTTGTTTCCATCCAATTTCGTCACAAAACAAGCTTCTCAAGCTTGTTTGGATTTCCTTGTTTGTGTGGCATGAGTAAAGGAGCTCAAGTTCCTTTGATTGGCTGCGTGATTTGTATCAAACACCTACCTTGGGTGTTATCAGGGACGCTTCATGGATGATGATGATGATGATGATGATGATGATGTTGTACTCTTGTATCAGAAGACCCCATATCAAGGCATCTTGTAGCTCTGAGACTTGAGACAGGTTCTACTTCTTAAGCCAATCATCATGATCTTGGAGATGATTTATATCTAAAGTTACAAAAACTGATACTGCAAAATTTCCTGATAAGCTAAGGGTGATCAAACTTTAGAATCATAGTAATGTGCGTATCATTATAACCTTCCATCATGGATGACATTTCAAAGAAAGTTCTAACTTCCACAGATTGTAGAGTGACTGATTGTATCCCAGAAGTGTCTATAAAAACGACCAAAGAACCCATATGGACCTGATGTTTTCATAGATCATAGAGTGAAAGCTAAATTTCTTGTTTATTTATTACTAACGTGAACACATGCATCGTCATTCATCTCATCTGATACCTTCTCATGAAAACCTTCAAGAAGGTGAATGTAAGAAATAGGTGTTCAAGCATGAACATATCTTTGAATAAATCTTCTTCAATCCCTTCAGTCATGTTGTAACACCCCGACTTTTGGTTCAGGTTCGACCAAAATACGGGAACGATTGGGTTAACGGTTACGTACGAAGGGTTGCAATCGTGAATTAGTAATAATAACTTATTATATTATTATTACTAATTAATATATATATATATATATATATATATATATATATATATATATATGGGGAGTTCTATGGTACCCAGGGTGAAATCCGGGGTACCGAATACCTTGAGTAAGTAAACGCTATCCAGAACTTGAATTGACTAATCTTTCGAACATGATACTATACTCTAACCCTTAAATATCAACATCTAGGTCTTAATTCTCTAAATCTTATACCCGAAGATCAATTTAATTAGAAACAATAATCGACGGTTATGATTCGTCCAAATATAGGCAAAAAAATCAATGCACCATTTTAGGATTTATAGTTTATTATTTAGATAATTAGGACCTAGGGTTCACTCATTAAGGGTTAGGGTATAGTATCATGCCCAAAAATACTGCTAATTCGAGGTCTCGATAGTGTTTTCATACTCAATGTATGTGGTGCCCCGAATTTCACCCGGGGTACCATAGAAGGCACCATATATATATATATAATTTTGTACAGGGCCGAGCGGCCACTCCCCATCTCTCCAAACCCAACAAATCCCCGCCCCACTCTGCTTCACCTGATCATAATTAAACCTAAACCTAAAGCTACCCACCGCCCCCAATATTTTTTTTCCACTTCTCCCCACCATTTAAACCCAGCGGAAGAAAGTAAGAAGAAGAAGGAAGAAAGAAAGAAAGAAAGAAAGAAAGAAAGAAAGAAGTTGTGGTCGTCGTATCTCCGAGGGACCAGCAACAACAACCATCACGCAGCACCACCTCCACGTCGTGGCTTCCTCGGCGATCGACCTTTCGTTTCTTGCTCCATGAAATCATATTCCAATAGCTTCGCGGCGAGGCGCCGGGTACTCAAACGAAGATCAAAGAGAGGGGAAAACGAAGGATTCATGGTATTGGTTTTGCTTCGGAGAATGCCAGGAACCATTCCACTGAGTCAGAATCCAGTTTTGAGGTAGTTACATGCCTCGCCGGGACTTCGTCGTAGCTCACCGGAAAAACCAGAAAACTCAAGTCCAAGTATTTTTCGATTGGAGGGCACCAATGCAAAGAGAACGATCCCAGGATCGTCACCGTGTCGAAGAAATCGAATTTGGACGTCGGACGAGGGAGAACAGAGCATCGGAAGTTTGGACGAAAATCTGTCAAGTACTGGTACCATTCTTGGTAATTCAAAAATATTGAGGAGTAATTCAGTAAGTTTTCAGAATGGTCATGGTCAACCAGGTTGACTGGAAAATTTTAGTTATGGTACCTAATACTTTGAAAACTGACAGAATGCTTGTTTTGGCCATAACTCGTTCATTTGACGTCCAATCGAGGAACCGTCGACGCCTATGGAATCGTAGTAGCAAGGAGAATATTTTTTGAAGCAAGTATGAGATTTTTAGATCAGAATCAGAGTCGGTTTCGAAGAATATGAGGTCAGTGTAAAGGGGGTAGATTCTACGCCTTACGGGTTTTTTTTCAAGTATTTGCTTTGAGTACTTTTAAGTATTGATTTACGTGATGTGCGTTCAGTATGTGATTCATGTTTGATATTGCGTGATTATGGTTGATGATATGTGCGATGGTTGAGCTATTGTTAATTTGAATTGTGGATGAGTTTATTTCTTACTGGAAGCTTTATGTCTATGAGTTATTGTCAAAGTTTAAGAACAAGTCCTTTTTAAGAAATACTTCATCTTCGAAGAAGGTGGAACCGTTTTAAGAATTTTTAGTCACTAGCGCCAGTCCGTTGCCATTTGAGATTTTGAGATAGAGCAGCAGTTATGCTCTTGAGACTTTTAAGATGAGCAGCAGTTATGCTCTTGAGAATCGTGGTAAAGAGCCACCACGATAAGTTTAAGATGTTAGGGGATGAATAGTTATGACTCCCCTAACTAAGTTTAAGTTTAAGGAAAGCCTTGAGGGCTTCTCATACGTATGAGTTGGGCAACCGGACTAGCTAGTGAGGGATCCCCGTGTCAGTCAAGTATTTAAGTTGTGATTTAAGCTTTAAGAATGGAGAGTAACAGTTACTCCCATACAATTTTAAGAATTAGGAGTTTTAAGAGTGGAAGTACAAACAACTCCCACCAGCTTAAGTTAAGTATCTAAAGTAAAATACTCAAGTACTAGATTTTAAAACGTAAGGGCGTAGGCTGACCCCAACTCACTCACCAGTTTGAAGAGGAAGAAGCTAGAGGAGCAGTTAGAGAGCCGCGGGATCGAGAGAAACAGTTCGAGTGAAGCTAGCTAGAGGAGGACGGTACGAGCGTCACAGAGGATGTCCATTCAGAGTTTTTCACACAAGCAGCAACACCTGAGACTAGTTAGTCATTATGTTTTATGATTATGAGTATAGACTGGAGATCAAGTTGAGTTTTTAAAGTTTGAGTTTAATTTGCCCATATGTTAGGGCTTTGCTTTGAACTACAAGTGTGTGTTTTCAGTATTTTATTTATGAAAAATTTTCCCGCTGCAATTTAAGATTGGAGTATTTTATTTATCAAGGGCATTTTAGTAAAAGTAGTACCCGGCCGGGTTAGGGTGTTACACATGTATCATCTACCACCACTTCCTCATCCCTCTATATCTTGGAAAGTTCAGCTGTAGGACTTCTTTCCTCTTCTACATTGGCTAGTGTTCGAGGTGGACGTTGAAGGACTTCCAAGAGAGACAGGATATCGATATCTCTTTGTGTACTTAAATTGCGGAAGTTCTTTGACTAGGCCATTAAGTCCCTTTCACATTTATTAAGTTGATGGAAAGATGGCCCTCTTGTATCCCAAGCTCGGGATACAATCCCTTGGCATTCCTCCTTGACCAATCATATCTCATCCACCCTAAAAAGGTGGTTTTCTTATTATGCTTCCTTTGTAGAATAAACCAACCCGAATCAGGAGATTTTTTATTGCACCATTTTCTCATGGAAAATCACTGCCTCTCCAAATTGATCACAAGGATTACTCAAGAGTTTCATGTTTGGTCACCAAAAATATTGTATTCATTCATGGTTACTAAGTTTAGCTAAATATTTTAAGCTTGGTCACTCTCTGTTACTTTATGTTAGTCTCATTAACGGTGTCAGCTTTTTGCTGACATGGCTAACAGAATCGTTGATTCTCCCAATTTCAAACCTCCACATCATAAAATTTTCCACATAAGATACAGTTCATAATGCAACCCAATAAAACCCTGAATAGTCATGATCTTTTTGACACTCCTCTGCCTCCTGGCCTTCTACTTCTCCCTCTCTTTCTCCATATTTATGCTCACCAACTTTAGGGTATTTGACTCTCTCTGTTTGGAGGTTTGTAAGGACTACATTTTCACCTTTCGTTCGCTACTCCTCCCTCAGCTGAGCAACTCTCTATCAATCGCACAATGCCACTATATTGTCCCATCAATCACTACTTCCTTTAATACCCCTATATCATGCAACTACTGGGATTGAGAAGAGGGAAAAGACTATTTCACTGTCAAAGAGGGAGGATATGGGTTGGTGAGGAATCGATGCAAGAAGGCCAAGAACTGGAATAAATGGGGAGGGGAACCCAGAATGGAGAGGGATAAGCTTAGACATGGAAACCGATCACCACAATCATCGGGGAAGGTTTCGACGATGATAGCAGAGGTGACACGAGAGAGTCAAGAATTCAGGGAGACGAAAGCTCAAACATGGAAACCAGAGTGGTGCAAGGGATTCGAATCAACGAGGGATGGAGAAGTGGAGGACATGGCAAGGTAGCTAAGGGGAGGGTCTGGTTCTTGATGGCGACGACTGCTGACCAAGAACCTAAGTTGGGTTTTGGATAAATTGAATATAACTAGGTTCAAAATTCCTACGGCTTGTGAAAATCCGGCATTTTATGGAAGGGATTGAAAGGAACCCAGTGATTTGTGTGATGGAGGATGTGTGTTGAAAAGGAATTGGTTCCGGAATTTTTTTGTCGGAGGATTGATTGTAAGGTAAGATCGGCCGATGGAGGTTGGAAAAATGGCAAGAGAAGTGAGGCTCTTTTTTGGTGCTCAGCTAACTATCGTGCAAAGTCGTATCTCTTTGGTTAATAAGATCCAAAAGATTTATTAACCCCAAGGATGCAGATCCATAATAGGCATAATAAAATAATTGTACGTCAAATAACATCAAAAGTGTTGGTTTCAGAAGATGGAATGTTGATTAAGCTCCAGGACCCTAAATTTTGCCAATCCACCTGAATATTAAGCTCTAAGATGGAAGGACTGTGACGAGCAGAGGAGGAGGGGTGGAGAAAGAACTAGGTAGAGTTATTTAGACTGGACTGGTCAAGGCTTGGGTCACGAGTTGGGGTGGAGTATCTTATTTGGCTAGTTTAATGACGTGGTAGGTCAATATAAAATGTTTAGACTTTTCTATTAGCCACTTATGCAAAAAACTGATATTGTTAACGAAGACTAACAGAAGCTAATAGAGAGTGGTTAAACTTGAAATATTTAACTAATTTTAGTGTCCGTAAATGGAATAAAATATTTTTTGTAACCAAACGTGAATTTTTTTTAATAATCCTTTACCAAACTTGCAATTTATGCTAACTTAAAGATTTGGGTAAGTACTCATTATAAGCCAAACCTTTCCCGCATTTTTAAATATCAGCCGAAAGGAAATACAAAATATTAGCCAAATTATTTTGTAACGCTGCAAAATATTAGCCATTTTTCTATTACCGTTAATAATGTTATAACTCTTTTCTTAGTTAAAATACTAAAGTTTTAGAATGTTGGCCTCCATATGTCTCTTCCAAGTCACTATCAATGTTGCAAAGTGAATATTACTAACAAACTGCTAACTGAAAGTTACCATTTGACTAAAATTTTATATTTCGAAAGGTTTATCTACTATTCAAAATGCAGGAAAATATAGGTAATAATTAGTAGATTTCTGTTGATATAGGAGGGTCGAGATGACATTTGTCTTTTTCTAATTTTACCATTGATTTTTGGGTAAATGCCACATTTGGTCACCGAAATTGTTAAATCGTGTCATGTTTAGTCACTAGAAAAATTTAATATCAATTTTGGTCACTCGTATTACTGAAACAGGTCACATTTAGTCATCTTCTGTTAGCCTCCGTCCAACTCCGGTCACTCGAATTACTAAAACATATCACATTCAGTCAGTCGAATTACTAAAAAGTGTGGCACCGGTGCCGCTGTATTTAATTGGTCCACGTGGCCATGATAGTGTGACATGGCAATAATAGTTAAATTCCAACCCAACTCGTGGGCCATCAACCGAGCCAACCACCAAAATGGCAAAAATAGTTAAATTTATTCCGCACCAAGTGGTACCCAACCTGAGAGTGGGCCCATAATTCTTGCCCTCTTTTCCAAAATTCCTATACCGTTGTTATTGTTCCAGCCTTGACGGACGAACAAAGCTTGAAATTGAGAAAGCCTAATAAATCCTAATTTGCCCACACCCCATTCTCAAGGAAATCCTAAAATCATAAATTCGGATATGCAATACATCTCCGAAGGGGCCAGAGTCGAGCTCTGATATGATTATTGCGAATTATTTTCAATCTCAGTTATAAAAGGGTCAATGTGTGACGAGTAGATGCATGTCGGTGGAATTCCGGTGGATCTGAATTGGTTCCTTGGGGGTGGCCGGATCAGTTTTGTATTCTCAATGTATTCTCGCCGGAGCAGTTTGGACTGAGAGAAGGAGATCGACACCGAACTGCTTCACTTTCCCTTCGTTTCCTTGGTTTCTGGAGGAAAAAAAAAACAAATACAACTGAACAAAATAATTTGGGGAGAAAACGATGTGGGAAAAAAGCAACAGAAAGAATTTCGTCCGTTTGGGTACGGCTTTGGTTCGGGCCAATTCCAATAATTCAGTAGGCTTTGGGCTCATAATAAATAAACCAGTACCAGTCAGGCCATGTCAGCTCCACATGGACTAATAGAAAACAGCGTCATCGGTGCTGCACTTTTTAAAGCGGCACTGTAGTATTTAGGGGTGGGTATCGGTTCGGTTAAAAATGAATTAACCGAACCGAATTTGTGTATACCGGGTCCCTTATATCAGCCAAAATCCAAACCGATCCAAACCAAAATATATTTCGCTTCGGGCAGGTCGAACCGAAATATATGTTGGTTCAATTTCTACCCCAAACCCGAAACCTTTTCCATTCCCCTTAATTATGGATCTGTCAACCCATTTCCCCCTCCCATCTCTCTCTCTTCCATTCATTTTCCCCTCTCCGTATCTCTCTCCCAACACTAAAAAAGTAAATATCAATAGAAGAGCGTGCTCAGGGAAGGAAAGGAAGCAGTTGTAGGCATGGCGGCGGGGAAGAATGACGAGTGAAGACGAAGAGAGGACAGGCCGACAGGGAAAAGCACGCCACCGTCTAGTCTGCCCTCTCTGCTGCAGGATCATCCGTCGTATATACACTTCTTCTCCTTATCCCGTTCTTTCTCCTTCAAAGTTCAGATCTGGAAGAAGTAATGGCGTCCTGCTTCAGATCCTCTTCTCCATCTAGCGGCGACGGCGACAGTGAGAGATGACAAAATGAGACATGATGGATGGTTGGTAGTATGCATCGCATGCATGTTGTTGTCGGCAGCGAGATTGAACAGGAGGAAAGCTCCCTCTGCCGCCACGAATCCCTCCCGAGATTTGTGTTCGCCGCCATCGAAGGAGCTCAAGGATCTGTGTTGGTTTGGAAATAAGGAGGAGCTTGAGGGTTGGCTGCTCTGTTAGGATTATGGGGGAGTAGGCTTGGGCCTTGGTTTTTGAGTATGTGGGCTGAGATGAGATTGGGCTGGGAGTGGGCTTGAATGCTAGGTTGATCAGTATGTTCGGTTTTTCGGTCGGATAATCGGAATTTCGGGTTCGGTTGAGCTATCTTGGTTTCCGAAATATAAGAGGTTGCCTTCGGATTTCCGAACCGAATTCATATTATTCGGTTTTGGTTCGGTCTTAATCGGTTTCGGTCCGGTTCGGTTCGGGTTTACCGAACCGGATGCCTACCCCTTGTAGTATTGACCTGCAAGAAATACAATTGGGCCTTCTGGCCGTCCATCATGAATTCATGGACTTCTTTGACTGTGCGTCTAGCTGAAAAGTTGAATCGCGGGACTCCAGTCCAGTCCACACATACAGCCCAAATATAAAACCTCCATTGGTAGCCGGCTCCCTTTCAACGACTGCTTCGTCGTCCTGCCTTCTCTCCCTGCCTACCACCTTGCTGAAGCGGCAAACCACAGTCTTCTTCTTCTTCTCCGCCGAGGGAGTCACGATGCTAACGGCCGACATTCCTCCAAATCAAACCATCTACATCAAAAACCTCAACGAGAAGGTCAAGAAAGAAGGTAGGATACGATCCCCTCCTTCTCTGCGTTATTTGGCTGTGGAATGAGTTGAAGCTGAAAAGTTTGAACCCTAAATCTCGCCGTCTCGCTTCATGATTTTTCAGTTCTGCTCTCTCCCGCTGCACAACTTTAGACTTGCTATAGAGTGGATGTAGGTGCTTGTATTGATTCCTCGTTACAAAGGCTTTAGGGACGAAGTATTATGTGTTGTTCACACGGAATGTGGAGTGACTCCGCTCAAGTTTGGTGTGCGCTGTTTCATCGTAGAAGTATAGGTTTTGAAGTTCTACTTTCTTGCGACTTCGAGTAGAAGGATGGGTCGGATTCTGTTTTTTAAGGGATGCTTAATCTTAGCTCATGAGCAGGCATATTCTTACATACTCTACCGGTGGTATCCCTCAAGTCAGCTACTTTGCTAATATCTTATTGAAAACTGTATCTATTGAAAGTAGCATCTGTAAAATAAAATTTGGTCTATTCTAATTTAGTAATCCACTCGCACTGATAAGTAGTGCTCTTGTGGGCAGAGTCAATTTACAACCCACAATGTAATTGCTATACACTGTTTTTAAACTCACCCATTTGTTTCGGGTTTCATTCATGTTTGTGATCGCTGAAAGCATTGTTAAGGAGTCAGGGAAGTGAGATTCAATCACTTAGGGTCCATTGACGTTAGAGACTTTCGTTGCAATGTGTCCTTTTTATGTATCCTTAACGATTGTAGCATATTCGTTCATTCTTTCAATTTTCACTGTGTCCATCTTTTTTTCCTTTTTCAGAATTGAGAAGATCGCTTTACTGTTTGTTTTCTCAATATGGAAGGATTCTGGATGTCGTGGCCTTGAAGACACAGAAGCTCAGAGGGCAAGCATGGGTGTGCTTCAGTGAAGTAACAGCTGCCAGTAATGCAGTGCGGCAAATGCAGGGTTTTCCATTTTATGACAAGCCCATGGTACGTCATTAGATGTGGTGCTAGTAACTTATGTGGGGAATAGGAAAGATGTAAGAATAAAATATATGAAATTTTGGTAAATTGATCAGAGCATCTATTTGAAGAACTAGTTGCTTAAGATAAGAGTTAACTATTAGGACGAAATATTATTTCAATGATGAAAGAAATTTTCTTCAGTATGTTCGCCCTCTTTCATACGATTTTATAGTTTCTCTTCGAGATCCTTGCCGTACCATCTATATTTTCTCTGCACATATTCAGGTTTGAAGAATCGCCCAATTCAATTAGTCCTATGTTCCTAGCTAAAGATACAGATCCGAAAGAGCATATTTACCTACTATATCCTTCTGCCATCATACATCTCTATAACAACACTATATTACATAAAAATAGTCTGGAGTGGCGATTTTATGTTTATAAGATCGTTGTTGGTACAGCGAATCCAATATGCAAAAACAAAGTCAGACTGCCTTGTAGAGGCAGAAGGAGTTTACGATCCAAATGCAAAGAAGAAGAAGAAACAAGAAGAAAAAGGTGATAAGAAAACTCTTGAAATCATGCATTCTCTAGTTAATTCTCTTATGTGATTCAAGAACTTTTGAGCTCTACGCCTTCTACTAATCATGTGCCAATATCTGTACCTTCAGCTGAAAGGAAGAGGCGTGTAGAAGAAGCTCAGCAATCTGCAACAGCTAATGGCTCAACTGCTGACAATAACAGAGGCCCTGTAAGTCCTGCTGCTACTATCTGTTTATGTTACTCTGGCTATTAACTTCTCCATCACAATCCTTATAATTTACCTCCAAACCATGTGTCTGTTAGCTCTAGATTATCTTCCTTAAGGTTTGACATCTTGTGATGAATGGTGCTTCTGATTTGTTGCTCCTTGTGATGTGCAGACTTCTTTCCGCCCAGGAAGTGGTGGGGGCGAACATGAAACCATTCCACCAAACAACATTTTGTTCATTCAGAATCTGCCGCATGGAACCACCAGCATGATGTTGCATGTCTTGTTCCAGCAGTACCCTGGGTTCAAGGAAGTCAGGATGGTAGAAGCGAAGCCTGGTATTGCATTTGTTGAATTCGATGATGATGTTCAGTCATCCATGGCCATGCAGGCACTTCAAGGATTCAAAATCACTCCTCAAAACCCAATGGCCATCAGTTTTGCCAAGAAGTAGTAGGTTGCTTATTATCTACTTGTATGTATCGAGTAAGGAGAGCCATGTTAACAAAATCCGGGCCTTGTGAGACCGAAATGGCGGAGGTAGAATCATGTATTTGATCAGAAAGTGGGAATCAAGTAATGTTATAGTAGACCACCATAAGAATATCAGCCAGTCCTTTTGAGGCAGTTTCTACCTTTTTGAATGAATCATGACAATGAAGTATTTCCCCTCCCCCAAGTTATTGTGTGCAAATAGTAATATGTTCTCTTACGGGTTTGAGGGATTTGTTAAGAGTCTATTGTTCGCATGATAGATTTGATTATATAATTATGATAGATTTGCACTAAATATAACTAGCCAGAATTTACAAATCCCACTCTAATATGTGGGATTTACAAGTTCGTGGATTTAACACCTAATAATAAACTATAGACTTGGTTAAAATCCATCATGCTTGGGATTTGAGTATCAAATCCATAACTAAACCAAATCCAACAAGCAAACGACCCTTAATCGCGAGCAATATATGTAGTTATTTGGTTCCTGTTGTGCAATTGTTGTGTGTGTGGTCGGAACTTGTGAGCGAGGTGGGCTGCGGTTATGATTCACTTTGACGCTCAAGTAGAGATGATGATGTATGGAAAAGAGGTAAGACTGTTTTTAGTGGTTGGATCCAAAAGTCAAAATTTTGGTCTATAGTTTAAAATGTAGCTCCTCAAAAAGTGTTTTGGCAATAGTGATGAGTTCCAAATTTCCATATATGCCCTTTAACTCATAATCCAGATTTCTGTATATTTTATCATTCTAATTACAAAATCTGTTATTTATTTTTATGTGTACTAATAATCAATTAAGAAGAATATTTCGATAATGTTTTTTTTTTAATTCCGACAAAAAAAATTATTTGTATTTGTAAATATAACGTAATCAATGATGAAAACATCATTATTGGTTCAGATACCATGGATTCATCACATGCTTGTCATGATGAGTTGTGCCATCAACGGGTTAAATGCATCACTTACCACTTAAGTATAGCATATGTTGTATATTAACCACCTAACTTGTTTTTGTTGCAACTAAAGCACTTAAGTCGAATTATTGTTGCAACTAAACAATATAAATCGAATTCTGGTTGCACCATCACTATTTTCATCTAGAAACTTAACAGCAGGTACCAAATGAAAATTATTGTTCTACCATTTTGAAGAAAATAAAACTTATATAATCATTTTGTATAAATGCTAAACTTATATGGCATTTCTTAATAGTTAACCCTTTTCATGCTCTCCTCTTCTGGGTCTTCTTTCATAGGCTCACACCCGTCACCACCGCCTTTTCCATTTCGAAAGTGATCTATAAAGCTAAGTCGCCAATTCACAACAATAAAATGGCTTCAAAATAGGATGAAGTTACAAGATTGGTTTCTAGAATCAATACATATTTTTTGGTAAAGGCAAAATAAACTTATTGTCTGGGAAAATTAATGGTCCAAGTTCAAAGAGAAAAGAGAAACATACAGAAAGAAAAAAAAAAAACGGGGTTTACCCCCTCCAGAAACCATTCCAGGCCAATCAACGTGTACAAATTAAGCAACCCACATTTGCAGCAAACTCGAACACATGAAGCACCCGAGTCTTCCTCTAAAAAATTCACCTTCCTCATGAGATGCTTCCACCATCCATTGGGGGGAAGCCAAGCAAGAGATCTGGATTGGGAGTAAAAGCACAACATTGGTACTCATCTGCGATGAAGAAAAACTCTGGTAGCAGCAAAAGCCTCATTAAATTGAAGAGTGTCCACAACGGGCCGACCCTAACAATGTTGAGGCCCTGTTCTATAAATAAAATGAGGTCAATTTTTCTTTAAAATTTAAATAAATTAATAAATAAATTAAAATAATATTCTTAAAATAAAGAGTGATAATGGTTCAAATAGAAAGATGAAATAAAATATCAGAATTCAAATAGTAAGTACATTAACAATTAATCATTAACTAGACTCACCTGAATAGGTGATGAGAAGTTAATTGAGTAGAAGAGGAGAATAATTTTAGATGAATTAAAGAGCATGACAAAATATTTTAGAAAATATATTAGAAAGGAGAAGCTTATAATTTTTAAAACTAAAGTTACGTCCGGTAAAAATTATTTACAATTAGTGGTGGTACCAATGATTTTAGATAGGGTATCATCTTTTAAAAATTAAATTAATAAGAAAATAATTACTTAATAAGAAAATATCTGACTTGTACAAATTCTAACAAAAGCACATGACGTGTTTTGTATTCTAAAAAATTGTCAAATACATTTGGTATCTAACACGGCTATACAAATCTCTCACGATATATCTTATTAGATAAGAGAGCCCGTAATTGAGTTTAACTTTAGTTTTTGAAAATAATTGGAATAAAGAATAGCTTTTTACTGTTATAATTGGATTTAAAATAAAAGAACATACGAATTGTAGTCTAATGAAATATATATTTACGTAATGGCCCAATCAAATAATGTAGGATACCACTTAAATATTACTTTCTTCTTTAATTCGCTGCAAGGTTGACTGCTTCCAAAACAAAATGAGAGGATTCCTTTTAAATTCAGACCGAGATCATCCTCCTCATGTGCGCAGCTCACGGTTGACTTCAATAATCAACTCACAATTATTCATGAAGAAAGGAAGGCAAAGGAAGATGATTGTGAGAATCAATAGGAGGAGCACAAAGAGAAGCAAAAAAGGAGAGAGAGGGAAAGATGAATAATTATTCAAAATGGTCATTTAGACATTTGTTCAAAATGATTTAATAAATTTTATTTTCTTGATACGGTGGCACCATTATTCCCATTTGGTATACACGGAAATTGTGACGGTGCAACTAGAATTCGATTTATATGGTTTAGTTGCAACTGCAATTCAACTTATATAATATAGTTGCAACAAAAACAAGTTAGATGGTTAGTATGCAACATACACTATATTTAAATGGCAACTGATGCATTTGACCCTGCCATCAACTATTCATTTAACTTTAATCAGAATGAATGGTGTCATCAACTATTCATTCAGCTTTATTCACATGAAGTGTGTCGTCAACTGTTCAAACAGCTTTAATCATAATGAATTGTGTCATCAGCTGTTCATTCAACTTTGAACATTATTGTAGAAGAAATCATTTCGGGTTTCTATAAATGAACCACCAAATGTGGTCTTGGAACTCATCTACCATTCAATCTTCTTTCCTGGGAAAAAAAAAACCTTGATCCTCCATTCTCCTCTCTAGTCACCCAAAACTATTTTAACTTCATGGCCTTGATAGAGAAGCTTATGATATGGAATGAGAAGCTAATGTGAGGTAAAGAGAAGCTGGTGATAGACAATGGGAGTACGAGTGTCAAATTGATCTCGTAATAGTTCATAAACACGAAAAACAGTGAGACGTAACAAGGAAGATGGCCAGAGGCTCTTGATGCAAGACTACTTCAACCCAAATCAACCTATGATGCTAAGGCATTCACATGGCGATATCGGATGCCCCCTGCCTTATTCAATCGAGTCATGAATGATGTTGTTCAATATGATGACTACATTAAGCAAGGGAAATATGTTGCGGGTCGTGACTCATTCTCCCACATCAAAAGCTTACTACTGCGTTCCGCATGCTAGCCTATGGATGCTCGGCAGACTCTTTGGATGAGTCTTGTCGAATGGTTGAGAGCACCGTATTGTTGCTTGGGTATAACCAACATTTATGGTGCTCAATACTTGCGTGCACCAACTATAGATGATACTCGTTGCCTCTTTCATCATGCTGCACAATGTGGCTTTCCATGAATGATTGGTTCTATCCACTCCATACACTGAGAGTGGAAGAAATGTCCAATTGGGTGGGTAGGCCATTTCATTGGGCACAAGAAGAAACCAACCATTGTCCTCGAAGCTGTGGGTCATACGACACATGGATTTGGCATGCCTTCTTTGGAACGCCTGGATCGAACAACGACATCAACACTCTGAGAGTGTGCCCATTATTCGAGCAACTCGAAAACTAGTTCCCAAGGCCAGTTATGAGGTAAATGGTCAAAGGTACGATCAAGGTTATTATCTGACTGGTGGAATTTATCTTGAGTGGGCTACATTTGTGAAGACTATCGGCAATCCAAGTAACCATAAAAAGTTTTTTGTAATGTGTCAAGAGGCTTACCGAAAGGATGTTGAGAGGGCCTTTGGCATTTTAACAAATATGGGCCATTGTCAGGTGCCCTAGCTTTCTTTGGGATGTGCAAACACTTGGTTATATCATTATAACTTGTATTATTATGCAAAATATGATAATGGTAATATCATGAGGAACGACTTGATTGAGCATTTGTGGACCATACATGGAGGAGAGTAGTCGTGGGTTGTGTCAATATGAAGAAAGTGTGTTCCTAATGTATTTCCTATGTTTTCCTAATGTATTTTTTATTTATTTTTGCTTGATGTATTTCCTATGTTATCCTAATGTATTTCCTATGTTATCTTAATTTATATCCTCGTTATAAGCCAAAAAAAGGTATGTGCAGTAGAAATTGAAGAAAAGGATACATCAAACATAAATCTACTACATGAAAATTACAAGGAAAAGAGTTCATCAAATATATCACAAAACTTCATACAGATTACATATCGAGATCATCTTTGTAAGAAGCAACAATATCACCTTTTTAACTTTGATACCAAGGCCAAGATCGAGCACTCATTTGAGAAAGATCCTTATTCATTACCATCATCTCATGACTATTCTTCTCCATGAATTCCCTTGCCTTATCCCTTGCTTCTCTTTGAATTTCACGTTCCTCTCTAGCGAGTGCTAGCCTCATGTGTGTGTTCGAATTATCCACCAAATTGGCTATATTATTGTCTCAACTTTCTGAGGAAGAATATGAAGTTCCTCTATGCTTCTTATTTTGCTTATCACGGCCTCCGGGATGGTTGATAACAGAAGGAGTAGCTTGAACGTCGGGGATATCACTCTCACCGGATGGGAAGCCCGCTGAAGATCCACCCATTGGTGGAATGGGTGGCACGAGAGTAGTAAATTGCTGAAGAAATTTTGGTGGATAAACTCCATATCATTGCATATGTTTTTGTTAGGTGAATACGTCCATTGACGGTAAAATAATTGTATTAGTTGCATATATTTATGTTAAGGTCTAACTATAACTATGTGTTGATTTTTATTTTTATTCATTATATAAAAATGTGTATGGATTGATAATTTGATAATTTTTGGTTAATTTGTAAAATTTATCATTTTAAAATTACACAAAAAATAACAACATAAATTTATTTTATGTTTTTTATAAATTATTTTTTGTTAATTTGATTATAAATAATAAAAATTAAAAAAATAGCTTGAATTTTAAATTTTTTAATGATTTTTAGGCTGACGAGGCAATGACATGGCATGTTGACTAACGGTCAATGGTGTTGACCATCCAAATTGACGGTCAAACTAGGTGTCGGGCCAATTGAGTCTATATGTTACATAGTTGAGGCCATGATGTTAATTTCTGAAACCACGGGCCAAAGTTGATTATATAGTCATAGTTCAGGCCAAAATAAGGTATTAACGCTATTCATTATTATAATAAGATTGAGACTATCATGTCATCAAACGTGTTTAATATGTTACTTCTAATTTTTTTCTTTTCACTTCATCAGTAAAATCGGTATTGAATCACAATTAAGATGAATTTAGGGCAAATCTTATGATATAAACATAAATTTTATGATTATGATTCGAGTTCAATTGTACACATTTTATACCCGTTTTTCTTAGACGTTTGACGCATTTGTACTCTGTGAGTTGTGGTTTTACGCCAGGTTGCACTTTGTTTTAGTATGTTTCATATCCTAGCAGGTGAAACTGACTGGAAATCGAAAGTGGGACGAAAACAAGCAAAAATGAGTTAAAGGGAGGAAGCAGCTGAGGATCACGGCAGAAGCTGAGTTTTCACGGTAAGGTCACCCAAACCGTGAAGCCTAAATTTCAGAAGCAAATTGCACACCTCCTTGGAGTCCAACCAGTTCACGGTCGCTAAAACCATGAACAAAAGCCCAAGACCGTGAAGCGCCAAGAGTCCCGAAGCGGATTGCACACCTCACTGGATCCTAGTCGGCTCATGGTCGCTCAGATTGTGAACCAAAGTCCCAGACCTTGTAGTGCCAAGAGTCGAAAAGCGGATTGAGTACCTCACTGGATCCCAGTCAGTTCAATGTCGCAAGATCGTGAACTCAACCCCTAGACCGTGAACAAACTAAGTTAAACAGTGCAGATTTTCTTGGCATCTTAGTCTGGGAAGGATGTTCACGACTGTGAACTGGGATGTGAACTGACTTCGACCTAGGTATAAAAGGAGGGCTGAGCTGAAGGAAAAAGAGGGAGAGACCTAGTGTGAGAAACTTCTTCTTCTCCAGCTTTCTAAAGAGAGAAATTGACGAACCAAAGAAGAGAAGAGCTTAGGGTTTCAACTCCAAGGTTTTGGGAATTTATTCCCCAAAGGAGGATCTTATGCTACTTTACGCTAGGTAGAGGGGAATCTCCTTTGAGTAGAGGCTTGTAAAAGCTGGATTTCCTTAGGCAATCTTTGTCTCCTACTTAGGTTAAATTAGGGAAAACCTCTTAATTCGTATCATCACCTATGGTTGGTTGAAATTTGGCCGCCCGAACTCCAATTTGAGGGTGAATTCTAGGCAATCGTTGGTTGATAGGTCAAGAGAGCTACTTTGGTAGCATGAATCGGAATACCTTGTCCTATTGACCGAGAGAGTGGCGTTTGTTAACTATTTGCACTCCCCAACGGGTTACAACCGCTTTTTCCACACCTAGAAATTCGATCTGACAAGTCATTATTGTTAGCTAAGGGGAGCAACACCAGGGTGAAGCCTTCTCAATTAGTGTCCTATCCATTTACTTTTTCGAATGTTTTAGTTATAGATCGTTATTTTCACCAAAAACCATTTGCTAGATAATGTTTCCGACAATCGAAGTAGGGGTACATGGTCCGGCTCGGATTGATATTTAAACATACTTGCCTTATATTGCACCCGGTTAAGGTTTATACTTGGGCCTTAATTGAGATTTTTATTGTGATATTCGGGACGAGTCAAGTTTTTGGCACCGTTGCCGGGGAACTTCCGGTCCGTTATTTCTAAAATATTGTTTTCGTGTGAGTGAATCTTGCTTGTGTTTGGCGAGTTGTGGTTATTTTGAGTGTGTGCAGAAGGGTGTATGAACCGGAGTAATCTGACACCTTTGGTGCCACTAGATGAGAATCTCAAACACATTCTCCAACTCTTGGCTCGTGAGAGGGAACTAGCTGAAGCAAGAAGAAGGACAGAGGAGAGGGGACAGCCACAATTTGGCCCAAAGTTGAAGGATTTGTAGTTGAGGAAGAATTTTAATCCGAAGAAGAAGGAAGTAAAGACGAGATGTCGTCTAATCAAGAATCTCAAGCGGGAGCTGCGGAGCAACCGAAGACCATTGGATACTAAATGGCTCCACGAGCGGCGGATATTCAGCCTACCATTTTACATCCGCCCGTGGTCGCCAACAATTTTGAGATCAAGCCCGGCCTCGTCACTATGATCCAAAATAATGTGCAATTCCATGGGCTTAGAGATGAGTCTCCGAGGGATCATGTTCAGAGGTTTATCGAGATCGCGGGAAGTTTGAAGATAAATGGGGTGCCCAAAGATGCTTTGAAGTTGAGGTCATTCCCCTATTCTCTTGCGGGTTTATCGAGACCACCCCTCTCGATTACATCATGGGACGATTTGCTCAACAAGTTCATGACCCAATATTGCCCATCTTCCAAGACGTCGGAGAGGCGCAAGAAGATGGCCCATTTCGAACAAAGAGGATGATGAGACATTGAGAGATGCATGGGAGAGGTATTCAGACTTCTTCCTCCCATGCCCACATCATGGATTTGAAGAACAGTTTCGGATTGAGACCTTCTATGGTGGTCGCCTCCAAGATGACAAGATCCTCATTGACTCTCTATGTCAAGAGAAATTGATGAATATGACTCAACCCCAGGTAACCCAAATGCTTGAATATATGGCGACAAAAGGGTACGATTGGGGCTTGACAAGAAGTGGTAGAAGGGATATTGAGATGGAGTACGTTCGGTGGAAGCAAGTCCTCCGCTTGTCGCTAAGATTAAACGTTTGATTGATGCTCTCCTTGAAGATAAGAAGCAAAGGAAGAAGCCGTTGATGGTGTGAGATTGGTGTTCGAGTACCAACCATGAGATTTCGGAGTGCCAATTGATGAAAGTATCAAGCACCCCTGAGGAATAAGCGAGCTTCATCGCTAATGCTAGGAACAAATATTACTATAGAAACACTTATAACCCGAGGTGGAGAAACCATCCAAATTTCTCATGGTCATCCCCAAGTAATCCGAGACCCCCGATTTCCAAGGACCAACGGGGAATTATCAACCAAGGCCTCCCTTCATTCAACAAAGGACGCAATTCCAATGCTCGAACTTCCAACAACCATTCCAAGCTCAAGACGGGCAAGGGTCCAACAAAAATCCGATAAGTTTGCAATACTTGAAGACCTAGTGACCACCCTTGTGAGCACGAGCACTCAAAAGTTCGAGAAGATTGGGCAATTTATGGATGTGGCAACAACAAAATTTTCTTTGGTCGAGGCGGGATTGAGTAGCCACCAAGCGAGCCTTCAAAACTTTAAGACTCAAATCGCCAACCTTGCCGGGATTCTCAGCAAGAGACCAAAGGGAGCGCTACCCTCTCAAACTATTGTCTACCCCAAAGATCAAAATGTTGATTGCAATGCTATTCTTTTGAGAGTGGGAAGGTGACCTCGGAATTTGTTTCTAAGGAAGTGACCGAAGAAGAGAAGATTCTTCCAACAACCAATGATCAAGAAGGCTCAGAAAGGGAGGAAGAAGAGAGTAAGAAGGCATTGGTGACGCCACTACAAGTGGCTGAGTACAAGCCTCCTCGTCCTTTCCCCATGAGGATGCATAAGGACCGATTGGAGGGGGAATGTGACGGGTTCATGGAGATTCTCAAGAAGCTCTGCATCACAATTCCATTATTGGAAGAAATGGCGCACAAACCAAGTACCTCAAGGGGCTTCTCGCCAAGAAGCCAAGATATGAAGACCTCGCCAATGTCACCTTGGGTGAGGAGGGCTCCACCTTCACTCTCACCAAGTTTACCAAGAACAACAAGATCCAGGTAGTTTCAATATACCACTATGCATCGGAACAAATCATATAGAAAACTCCTTAGTGGATTTAGGAGCAATCATTAATGTGATGCCTTACAAGCTTTTTAGGAAGTCGCATCTAGGTGAGCTAAAGACTACTAGGCTTGGTGTCACATTGGCCGATCATTCTATCATTAGTCCTAGAGGTATTATGGAGGAAGTCCTAGTAAGAGTTGGCAAATTCTACTATCCAACGGATTTTGTTATTCCTGATATCAGTGAAAATGCGGATATGCCACTCATTATAGGACGCCCCTTCCTTGCCACAGCCAAGACCTTAATCGATGTTAATGAGGGAACTCTGATTTTGAGAGATGGAGAGGAGAAAATTACTCACTTAATTGATCCTACGGCTAAGAATGATGATGTGAAGGAAATGGACTCAAATTGTATGATTGGAAGTGGAGGCGAGAATCTCAAGGCAAACCTCACTACTACTTGTGTTTCTTGTGGTGATGTGAAGCAGGAAATTGAGGGTATCAAACACGAAGGAAGGAATAAGAAACCATGGAGAGAAAAGATGAATCATGTTTATACCCGAAAAAAGGATAAGGGTAAAGCGAAGGCAGTTGGCCAAAAGGGCCATCCTTTGGAGTTTAAGTTGGGGGGTGACAAACCTCGCCCTGAGATCGTGGTGGATCTACTCTAGGAGGCTTAGTTCTCTCAATCATAATAGATCCGCAACGTCAAGCTAGTGACGTTAACTTAGTGCTTGTTGGGAGGCAAACCAACGACGGTTTGTTTTCTTTTCCTTATTTTCTCTTTTTGTGATTGAGTGAAGAGTTTAAGTGGATGAATGGTTATCACCGTGCCATCATGTTTTATCGATTGGATTTTGAGTATGTTTGAATTAGGGGCATGGTTGATTAGGTCGCGTTTTGAAATTTTGGAAATGCTATGTTTTCACTTAGTTCACGGTTTTAGCATCATTATCATGAACTTAGCGACTGTGATAATCAGGTGAGATCGTGAACAAGGGCAGTTCTAGAAACTTTTGAAATGCATCGTTTTGCCCCGAGATAACGGTCTGGGAGTTAAGTTCACGTTCTTAGAGACCGTGAACAGAAGCCTCCGTCCATGAACCTCGAGCTCGGGCTTTACAAGGGCGTGGACACTTCTCCTTCACTTCACTTCACGAAGGAAGTAATAAGAAATCATGGAGAGAAAAGATGAATCATGTTTATACCCGAAAAAAGGATAAGGGTAAAGCGAAGGCAGTTGGCCAAAAGGGCCATCCTTTGGAGTTTAAGTTGGGGGGTGACAAACCTCGCCCTGAGATCGTGGTGGATCTACTCTAGGAGGCTTCGTTCTCTCAATCATAATAGATCCGCAACGTCAAGCTAGTGACGTTAACTTAGTGCTTGTTGGGAGGCAAACCAACGACGGTTTGTTTTCTTTTCCTTATTTTCTCTTTTTTTGACTGAGTGAAGAGTTTAAGTGGATGAATGGTTATCACCGTGCCAGCATGTTTTACCGATTGGATTTTGAGTATGTTTAAATTAGGGGCATGGTTGATAAGGTCGCGTTTTGAAATTTTGGAAATGATATGTTTTCACTTAGTTCACGGTTTTAGCATCATTATCATGGACTTAGCGACTGTGATAATAAGGTGAGATCGTGAACAAGGCTAGTTCTAGAAACTTTTGAAATGCATCGTTTTGCCCCTGAGATAACGGTCTGGGAGTTAAGTTCGCGTTCTTAGAGACCGTGAACAGAAGCCTCCGTCCATGAACCTCGAGCTCGGGCTTTACAAGGGTGTGGACACTTCTCCTTCACTTTACTTCACGTCCCCCCCCCCCCCCCCCCCGGCTGCCGGAAATTTCTGAAACTCGTCGGAAAACCAAGCCCACGTATTTATTTTGTCAATTTCGACGACTTTCGTTCACCAAAATCAAAATCCAAGCACAGACAAATTATTCCCAGCCCGAGCGCACCTTCGCCAAAGTTTAGAGGCGATTTCGCTCAAAATTTTTTTTTGTGGCGGGAGATTTCCAGTGAGACTCCGACGAGCTCTACCGGGCTATTTTGCGGTCGATTTTAGACACCCTTTTTTTTTTATTTGGAAGAACTATGAATCACCTAGAACCATGTGTCAATGCGATTTGTACGTGGCTGAGCTTAAATTGCTTGAAATATGATATTGTCAAAAGCCTTTAAAGGCATAAGACCTCAGTGGAATCTTAAGTGTGGGGGAATTCTTTTCTCCCCCATTGATTTGAGATTGATGAATGTTCCCATGTATGGTGTATGTCTTTGATGTTTTGCAAGATGGTTGATGCGAGCCATGAGTACATTCACCACCTGGTGAACCACGAGAAATACGACACCATGTTCGAGCAATGGAGGTACAGCCAGGCAGGAGCTCACTAGGTGTTGAACCTGGATTTGTTCACCAGGTTCATGTGCCGGAAAGCAATGTCTGGGGTTCTCATTCATCCCTAGTGGCGACACCTCCTGGCGGTTGACGAGCTCATTTACTGTGTGCTCTATGTCGAGTTCTACTCGACCTTCTCCCATGTGATCCCGTCGAGCAAGCGCAACTGGTTGTACGTGGAGTTTGTGCTGGGAGGTCAGAATCATGTGCTGGCTAATGATGGGTTCTCCCAGGACATGGGGCTCAACCCCACGCACATGACCATGACGGAGAGGCTGTACATAGATGACTTCTGCTACGATGAGGCCTTCCACGCCATCTGCCTTTCGACGAACCAGAACGAGTAATTTAAGGGCTCCAACATCAATGCATTGAAGCTCCAGAAGCCTTGGAGGATCCTGCACACACCGTTTATGAAGTCGATCATCCATAGTCTGCGGTCGGGGCACATGATCACCAACAAAGGGTTGATAGCCCTCCATACCCTGAGCCACCCAACAGAGCCACTTCATTTGGGATCATTGGTGGCTACCACATTTGCAAGATGCCTGGGGCATGATCGAGTGGACAAGATGCACTTGGGGGCCATCATCACGAGGCTAGCCTGACATTTCGGGGTTGATCTGACAGGATGCTCCATCATCGACCGGAGTGAGCCATTCCCCTTGGAGACGCTTTACAACATGAAGCTGGTGCTCAAGGGAGAGCGAGGGATTGAGTACCTCGAGGGACTTCGACCATTGGCCGCTCCAAGGACACATATCGACCTTTCTCCAGTGGAGCCTCATCCAGAGGTCCCTCCGCCATAGCAGCCGGCTACTTAAGCTCTAGGTCGCCTCTGTCGTTCCGCACCACCACCACCATCATCATCAGTCGGAGCTGGTTCCTCATTCGGATTCCAGTTGGTGGACCGAGTCATACACCTTGAGGAGGAGGTCATGGGGGTTAACACCCGCCTCGATCGTTCCACTGACCTTCTAGTGCGAATTGCCCGCAAGCAGGGTGTCCTGCCTGATGACGAGGAAGTGGATTGACCTAGGACCAGCGAGAGGTAGTCGACACAGTGAGACATGTGGCAGAGCCGATTTCTTTCGGCCCACTTCTCCACTTGAAACTCTGAACTCTTTTATTTTTCTTTTCTTTTGTGTGTGAACTAGTACGTTTGTGAGATTTTCTTCATTTTTATCGTGATGTGGAATATTTTTATGTGTAATAAACTCGCCTCAAGTGAGGGAAATGTCGAGCTCAAATCTCCTACCCTGGAAATCGTCCCTCTTTCACTCGCCAAGCTTTACTGCAACATCGCTTTACCCCCTATTTTCCGCCATTGAGGGCAATGTCGAGCTTAAGTGTGTGTGTGTGGGGCCGGGGGGGGGGGGGGTAGTTTATTATTGTGCTTGTGCTTGTGAATTGATTTCTTGGAGCCTTGATATATGTCCAAATTTTCAAATTTGAGGGCTCTAAGCGTTGCATGATCAAAGTGGCCGGTTTGTGGGAGAATCTCGTGCTTATTGGCATTGACCTTGACTCGATTGCATGTGATTTAGTGTGTCCTATGATGATGACTGAGAATTGCATTAGGTGTGTGAAAAAGTTTAGTTCTCATGTGTGCCTAAATGAATGGATATCTTGACTTGGTTACTCTTTTATCACAATTTCCTTGCATAGAATTTTTTGAAATTGGAATAAACGTTTGGGTGATTAGGTAGCCATGTGAGTTTTGTGACGATCGTCTTCTTCTTGTGTGCTTAGATCCCTCTTACCATGGCAAGTAACATTCGCCGTTGTCACTAGTGAGTATGATGGAGGCATATGATTAGTCCACGCCCAAAAGTTGATTGTCCCAAAATATCTTATCCCCTAGTCAACTCCTTTGAGCCGTGTGACTTTTGGGTCGTTCTAATGTTAGGAGCTTGTTGCTTGTGATCTTAATGGGGATCGAACTCTATTCATGCACGGTTAGTTGTGGTTGGTGAGTAGTCTTGTCGAGACTTATGTTGGTTTGCGAACAGGGTGATAACTTTTTATTTGCACACTCTTGATGCATTCGAATGTCGTTTGTGGTGGATTCCGGTATTGCTTGTATTGGTTCATGTGTTGATGGCCAATAGCCATTGAGATTTGGCGCTATGAGCCCTTTGATATATCCCCAAGTTATCTTGTTAGGTTGAGATATCGCCTTGTACGTTAGAAATATTATTAAACAGACTACTACATTAAAATTTTCAAATAAAAATGATTAATTACGATCGAACCTTGGTTTGAGCGTTGATGTATAAAACATATCTAAGAATTTAACTTTAATATTTTTTTGGTTTCTTTTGTATTGGCTAATAATCCTAATAATTTCACTTTAACTTGACGTAGAGGAATACACGGCGGGGCAAAACTGACATTTCCCCTCCTACTTTACCGAGGTTAGGTCTTCCGAACCATAGTTCGACCGTGGTTGATGGTTTTATGGAAATTTTAATCGGGAGGGTATGTTTGATAATGTTTTTACAGTTGAGAGGTATGTTTGATGTAAAAATAGAAGAATGATATATTTGATAAAATGCATAATAGAGGAGAACGCATTATATAATAACCGTAATTTGTTTCCATTGAATGGAAGAAAATAACAGTAGAAATGAACATAAGGCAACTTAATATATTTAATTTTTTTACTCGATGTAAATTAAACAAATCTAAAATCCAACATACAAATATATAGAAGAAAAAAACACTAAAAGTCTTTTGGATGGGATTGTGGTGCATGATCTTGTCACAATCTCTCATCTTCACGGGATTTGCCATAATCCTGAGTTTGGAAAGAATATAAAAATGAGAGATTTTAATCATAGTAGATTTCAAAATACTGCAAGTGGATCATGACGAGGTTCTGCACCCTACTTCCGACTCCCTAATCGGCGCCTGCTGAACCAATGAGATTGGATCCGCTGACGTTCTACTAAGGGTTTTCTTTTCTATTTATCTCCATATATTTCGAGATATTTGCTTGGTTCTGTTGAGTTATGTATATTCGGATGGGCTTTAGCCCATTGTATAGTAGTAGGCCTAGTCTAGGAAGATCCCTACTCTGGCCGAACCCTCTCATACCTCAGCTAGGGTTAGGTTAATATATATACATGTATCATGAACATGATCGGCAGCTAAGTGAATAATAATATTGATCGCTTCGGCCGTGGACTAGTCTTGATCACACTGATCAAGGAAACCACGTAAACCTGTGTGTTCTCCGTTTCTGTTTCGATCATTGTCCGTTTCAATTCCTATCCTATAAGCTAAGTTAATAGGTTCGTCGGTGAGATGCTTCTATCTCATCTCCATTTGGAAGTTTTGTCGAGCGTCTGTTTGTGATGGCGATCAGCCCTGTGCGTGTATCTTATGTGAGGACGCTAGAGAGTGGTGAAGACAGTAGTGTCGAAAGGGGCGAACGCGTGGAGGTTTAGGGGGTGTCTCGGAATACCCCTAAAATTTGGAGAAACGATTATTTAACTCACGGTAGTAATTTACGTATGGGTAAAAAATTTATAATTGGTAGTGAGGGACACCTCTAAAATTTGAAAAAATGATTATTCTAATGTCATTTTTTAAATTTGTGTATGGGAATATAAGTGATAGGTTGGGTAATTCAAACCTAGAGCACTATTATTATTAACAAACTTAATTTCCATTAAACTACAACTCATTTGTTGTTTGATTTTGAACATTGTAATCATAGTAAAATGTCATTCCCTATTTCTAATTATTTTCAAAACATAGCAATTAAACTAATTTCAACCTACCCTTAATTTGTATTGATTTTATGGTTGTACGACAAGTGTTGAAAGATTCTTTCAGCTTTGGGTTACATCAAGAACAAGCTTACAAATCGAATATGCGATAAGTTCGTGACTGATTGTCTAGTAGAGTATATAGAGACAATATTTTTAACACTGTAAACACCAAGTGTATTCTACAATTATTTCACAATATGAGAACATATAATTGACTTTTTTAACCTGTACGAGTAAGGTATTTTCTAATTTACAATTTTATTTTTATTAATTATTTTATTTTTATTTTTACTAAATTTATTTTTTAAAAGAGGACACCCCTACGAAAAATTTCTGAGTCCGCCACTGTCGATGCCAGAGAATGGCAACAACACTGGAGAATGATGATGAAACGTGAGACTAGTGCGGATGGCCAGGACATCGAAGGTCACTGGAGATTCGCATGAAAGAACAATTGCAGGTTATCTGCGTTTTTACTTTTTAGTTGGGATTTCTGTGGAGATCGAAGAAGAGGGAGAAGAAGATGAGGTCGATTTTTTCTTTTATAATTGAGGTCCAAATTCTACATATAAAAAAACAAGTATATTGGTACAAATATCTCATTAAAATTATTTTGAATTTAAATTAGGGATTTGGGCTCAAATTCCTGATAAATCTCTCAATTGAAAACTCCTCATCCGAACGAACCCCTGGATTACAATTGATTTCGTAGTAACTTATCGACGGACTTCCCAATTTTCGAGAATATGATCTTATAAGTCTTTTCTGTGGGATGAGCACCATCCCAAAAGATGTACTTTGAAATATTGGTACAAGTAGGAGTCAATGGGTTGCAAAGAATTCCAAACTCAACCGTGCCTGTCCCGCAACACGCTTTCTTCGTAATAGCAAACCCTGCCAAATTAACCCACCAAAAGTAACTCAATCCCAATTCAAGGTTACTCTTTAACTAGCAAATCATGCATGTTAAAGAGACATTAGTTAACTCACCGTAATTTTCAGGATACCTAATCATATTGAACAGAGGATAGTAAACATCCACAAACACGATGCTCAAGTTAGGAAGACGAACGTCATTGTTCAAGCGTTCAATTTCGTAGCTGAGTTTCTTGTTGTACATCATTGCTAGCTCGTTGGACTCATTGTTGCATTGCCTTCGTACCCCGCCGAACAACGTTCGAGATGCTGGGACACAACCCGTCACTATTGTACTTAGGTGGACGATATTGCTAACTCCGAGTCCATACAACTGTCTGAGAGTTGCGGAAGCCTGACTGACCAGAAAAGACGAGTATGAAGCCATATCGGACTTCTTCTTCCTAAGGAAATAGGTAAGTCCGATGTCGTTGTTGCCCAATGATATCACATAAAGGCTGTTTTTGATGATGTCGTCGGATCTCTGCTCTCCCACTAGAGTTCTCAGTTTTTTCACATACTGGTTGAAGAACTTGAGTTGATACGAAACGGGCAATGCCCCCTAAAATAGATATTTCAGCCCCTCTAAGTGAGAAATAACATATTGAAATATATACATGGTGACTACTTCGGTGCACTCACAAAAATGAGTGCGTTCAATGCACCCAACTCAAAAACTAGTGTCGGATTTTGAATTTTAATTTGTAGAATTACTGTAATATGATGATATAACATATGATAACAACTAATTAGCGGATTACCCTAAGTCCTAGACCTCCAATTCACAAAAATGAGTGCGTTCAATGCACCCAACTCAAAAACTAGTCTTAAAGTGTCGGATTTTGAATTTTAATTTGTAGAATTACTGTAATACGATGATATAACATATGATAACAACTAATTAGCGGATTATCCTAAGTCCTAGACCTCCAATTCACAAAAATGAGTGCGTTCAATGCACCCAACTCAAAAACTAGTCTTAAAGTGTCGGATTTTGAATTTTAATTTGTAGAATTACTATAATATGATGATATAACATATGATAACAACTAATTAGCGGATTACCCTAAGCCCTAGACCTCCAATTTTGATATCTATCCCTAAACCCCAAATTATAAACCCTAACCATAACCATAATTCTCTAAACTCTAAATCCTTCAAATTAAAGTAAATCTTTAATGGTTTTTGTGTAAATTCATGTACGTTATTGTTCATCACATCATAAGTGATGATTGACATCATTTGGACATAAATCACATGTTTAAAATGACGGTTACAAAGTGAGTGCACTGAATGCACCCAAAAAAATGAGTGCACCAAAGACGCCACCATATATATTTTGTAACCCATTTTACGGATCGCTGAGTAATAAAAACATATTCTTGTTTGTTTTCTAATCCCAATACATTCACATCATTCCTTAAATAAAATAATACAGACATGATACCACAGTTCTAAAGATTCATCTGATATAATAATATAGTGATATACAACATTTTATAGTTTTGATATTTTGGTTTACAAAAAAATTTAATGGTAAGTTTATACCCTAAGTTATGATACAAAATTTTTCAATTCGTACCAATAACCTTTTATACAAAATGAGCCGTCCGTCTGAGGGCCTGCCGGTGGGTATTTTTCCCGGGAAGTTCTTTCCGTAGGGAGGGAAGTTGAATTTAGACATAGTTACGATGTAGTTGTTGTTTCCAGTGTCAAGGATCGAATCCCCCATTACAAAAACTGCCGGAATTCTACCAGTTTTTATGTTTTTTGGTGCCACGGCGGTTACTGATGAGACCGTTGTCCAGAACAATAGAGGACCAGTGGTTACAATAAACGGCAAGAGGAATAGGATGATTGGTTTTGCAGAGCCTGTGGAAGCCATGATCTTCTTTTTTTTGCCTCCTAATATTTGTTCCAATTCTCTGTTGGGTATATATATCATTTTTATATATGAAAGACAATAATTTGTTCAGAACCTGCTTGTCATACTTGACGTACGGACTTGGAAGAAAGGGTGATTATATTGGTCCGTACTCCGTACGCATTTTCGTCGCAATACACTCAGTGTTGCAAGCATTTTAGGGACCTATTATAGAATTGGTGCGTTTATTACGTGTAGAGATAGATCTTGCTTCTACAATTCTGGTTTTCGATAGCTTTCATATTAGCTGTGTTTGTTTGTATCTCTGTTTAAAAAAAAATAGTTTTTTGGCCGCGCTTCGCGGCGGTAAGACTTATAGCGGGACAAGTAACGGTGTTAGGGGTTAGCACCATACTAACCACTCTAATCTCCATTTATTATATTCAAATAAGTCTGAGGGTGGAGAATAATGAAGGGTATATTTGGTATTCTCATATATTAAATTTAATGGATAAAATAAAAGTTTATCATATTTCTTTCGTCTCTCTCATAGATGTACGGTTAGTAGCGGTTTTGGTGACTTGTAGTAGTGTTTTTGTAGGTGTAGTAGTTGTTTTAACTTAATTAGTAGTGTTTCACCATTTTAAGAGTAGTAATTGTCTAAGTAACTAAGTAAGAATCACAACTAAAAAAATAAATCAGTATTACAAATTAAAAAAATACTACTACAAATAAGCAAAACACTACTAATAGTTAACATAAATCAATTATTACAATCAGAATCAATGCGACATACTAATATCTACAAATAAGAATCATAACAACAAAATCACTAATCAACGCAATTGCACTGATACCTACAAACATAATCACAAATAATCAACACACATATCTATGTCTCTTTCGTAATAGATTATGAGGCATATTTGAGGGATCGGTTAGTTTGACTACCCCTAAAGGGGTAGTGATTTTTGACACCCCCTTTATGATTGGCCAATTTTATTTCCAATCATTGGCAAGTATTAATTAAACTGGTTTTTTATTTTTTTTTTATCTTGTAATTTGGGGTCTCTCACCACATTGGAAAAGAGAAAGAATATGGGGAAAAACGAAATCACCCCCATTAATTACATAATTAATTTCTCTCACTGGTACATTAATTACACGTACCAATCCACTGGTACACGTACCACTCCACTGGTACACGTACCACTCCACTGGTGCGAGCAATCCACAAGGTAGGTTAGAGTGAGAACAATACCAGTGCAATGATATTTTTCATAACAATGATAAACAATAACGGAGCAACAATGCAGTACCACTTCAATGATACAAATATCACTCCACTGGTACACGTACCACTCCACTGGTACACGTACCACTCCACTGGTACACGTACCACTCCACTGGTGCGAGCAATCCACAAGGTAGGTCAGAGGCGATCCCAGGATGGCGGCAGCTGGAGATAGGAGGAGACTCGAGGGGAACAGAGGGACGGGAGAGGGTCGGCGGAACGGAGGTTGTGGACCGCCGGAGGGAGGCTTTGCTGGACTGAGAAGACGTCGGGAGAGGGTTTCCGGCCGGCGAAGGCGATCCCACCGTCGGCGAGCAACTCGATGGTTTCCGGCCGCCATCGATTTCTGCAGAGGAGAGGGCCACCGTCAAGTTCTGCAGAGGAGAGAAATGGGTGCTATTTTTTCGGGAGGGAATATGAGGAATATAGGAGCTGAAAAGGCACTTTCCTCCTCCAACGTTTTTCTCCTTCCCCATTCATAATTATTATCACAATTAAGGCTTTCCCAATTTACAAGATTACAATAAATAAAATAAAAAGCAACTTTCATTAATACAACTTACCAAATGATTAAATGGATAAGTGACCAATCAAAAGGAGGGTGTCGAAAATCACTACCCCTTTAGGGGTTAGCCTAGTATCCTGCCCCCATATTTGATAACTAATCACCGCAGTTACAATGAAAATTCATCAAAACCTTATGGAATCACTACGAGGACAAAGCAGTAGCTTCTTTATGTGTTGCTTCAACATGCATATTTGTTGCTTCCTCCGAATAGGCGCCGATTGCGGGAGGAGAAACAGGGCAGTGGACGATCGAGGAGGAGGGAGAATGGATCAATCGGAGGCGAAACTGTTATCGGAGCCCCAGATCTAGGCGGTGGTGGCCTTGAACCGGAAGGACGAGGCAGCTAGAAGGAACGCCTTTCCCCAGGATCGATGACGCGAAACTGGTGATAGAGCACCAAGGCGGTTGTAAACTTGAAAAGAGTCGTCGCTGCCAACATCTCCCAGTCCACCGATGGAAACACCCTCCCCGCCGGCTTTAGCGCCTCCCTCCGCTCGCAAGCACCCTGATTTGACTTTTCTAGGTTTTGGCGACAAACCGTGACTGAGAGATTGAGATAGGAAACCGTAAATGTGAAAACAGGCAGAAAGAGGAGTATTTATATTAGGGTTTGTATAATTGTTGACTAAAATATCCTTGAGTTAATTCTGACCCTAGGATTATTATGCTAATCTAATGGTTGTTAGAGTAGTTAGTATGGTGCTAAGTGCTAACCCCTTAAGAGGTTAGCACCTAATCTCATTCCGACTTATAGCATGTTAAATTGATTAATAAAAAATAACTATCCTCCAAAATATTTATGTAATATATTCATAATTTATAGAATTGTTATAGAATGATAGTATGTAAATTTTACATAATATGTGATCTAATAATAAAATTAAGGTAGAGCAAAGCATTGCATTTGATCGAATTTTAATGTAAAGTTAACTGACCTTATGGAATCTTTGCTTAATACAAAATTACAAATTGATGAGATGATGAATATTGTAGTTAATAATAAATGAATTTTAATCAATAATATAAGAATTGAGTTACGAAAAGTATCACATTTAATTAAATTGTTATGTAATAAATAATTGACTTTATAGAGACTTTGTAGAATGCATATTAATGATATGGTAAATAATTTATAGAGCTTTACGTAACATTTTTTTAAATTGATACGTAAGAAATCACTATCTCTTTATAAGTCCGACATATTGTATTTGTAATTTACATACTTTTATAGAATGGTGATACGTAAATATTATAATATGTAGTCTAATAATAAAATCATTTTATGAAAAATAACACATTTTATTAAAATATTAGGTAGAATTTACCTTAGGGAACCTTGATCATATAGTTTGACATAATGTATTTGTAGTTTACATACTTTAATTTATAGAATGGTGTACCGTAAGTTTTATCTTATTTGTGGTCTAATAATAAAATCAAGTTATGACATTCTATTAACCGATTATGTAGAAGTTACCGAACGAAACCTTGATGATATGGTAGATATAACGGATTAGATAATAAAGAAATTCTATCACCACATATGCAATTGATCATGCAAAAGTGCAATAAGATATACTTACTTGCATGACAATGGGATAGAGCTTGCCAGTTTGGGAAGAAATTGCATAGAGAAAATTCCAATCACAAAAAATACCCTTTTGTCTGTATAATTCATTATTGCTCATGCATGCATGCATGATATAACCGGCCCCATGTTAGAATTCCAATCCTCCATTAATATATGGTAGAGTTTTGAGTACTTTTTTCCATTTCAAATTTCCTGCAACGAGAGTGAAAGTAGGAAGGTCATTTTTGTCTTTACACATTTATTATTTATTTCATATAAAAATAGCAATATCAAGATTTGAACTCGGGTCTCTTCAAACAAAGATAACAATCACAACCAGTTACACTAAACAAATTTATTGTATCCTTTTTTATACAAAAAATAGACAAAGTTAATCTCTGAAAATCAGAGGACTTTTTCATCATAATTAGCAAGCTCACTAAGTCTACCATATGTATTTTTATCGAGCTTGATACTTCTATTTTCATATTTTCTCACTTTTAAATTCCCGCTCTCTCCTTATTTTTTGCTAAAGGTAAATGGGTAATTGGCCAACATGGAAGAAACTGATTATGTAACTACTGTTGTATCCTTGCATTTTTCAATTTAAATTTAAATTTTATGTTTTTTTATCTTTGTTCTTTTCTCTTTCTAACTTCCCCCGAAATTTCATCCATCGTGCAATAGTTTGCGCCTTTCACTTCCCAGTACAAGACTGTCATTGAAAATCAATCTTCAGGTATCTCTTGGCACTACGGTTTTATTGTTGGGGATTTTAAGCTGGGCGAGTAGAAGATTTCAACTCCGATATCAATTCATGGCGAATAGAATGGAGTACATCAATAACTGAAGTTGTAGAAGGAAGATTAGAAATTGAATTTTTGGTTGAATTTATGCCTCTTGAGATAGAAATTTGGTTGTACAACGGAGAGTGGTGGCTATTGGATCTTTAGGTTTATGGTTTTTGCAACTGTCATAACCTATTTCTATCTTAAAACGAGGAATCATTGATGGATTTTTTGAAACTAGTAATACACTAGCCTATTACCCGGCCCATTGGCCGGATTAGTGTATGTTACCCACTTGTGGAATAGGAGAAAAAGCAAGTGAGAGTAGAAGGAATTGGGATTCCACTTGCTTAGGACCGACCCACTAATCCGATTCTTCCCGACCCGCCCCAACCTAAAGGGTCAGAAAGAGTCAATAAGAAAATACGAACGGAGAGGATTAGTCATATATCTTGAATCTTCATAAGTGGGTCAAACAGGATCAAGGTTGGGTGAGGGGAATTTTTAGCGCTAAGCAGAGTTCTGGTTGAATAACTTTACTTAGGCCTAGAAATTGGTGCTGATGCAGACTGCAGTTTTTATTATACCATCATCAATCATCATTGAATTAGTCCTGGGCATCCCTCCCCGTTGTCGATCTGAATTCTAATGATGGCTTCGTTCCTTGCACCAGCCATATCGGCGAGTTGTCATCTCGAGCATGATTTGCCTATGTACAAATGATACAATTAGAGTATGAAACTGAATTCAAAGAAAGGAAAAGAGAATTCTATCACATGCCAATAAATACACGCATAATAGTGAAGTTAAGTGAAAGTCATTACTCGCAAATCAATTCTCAAAAATTACAGAATAAACAATGGCTAGAATGGCACTAAAACTACCAAGAATCATGGACGAAACAACTTGTCAAATTAAATAATCCTTATACTCAAAACTACCTTCTAACTTGAAATAGGACATGATCACAGTTCATAGCTCTCTTCTCACTATGAATTGGTTGCAGCTCGTCCTTATCACTGCCTCCCAAGCTCAATTCCAACAGAATAGAGACAGTTATGTAAGATAACCATATCCTTACTGATCATAATTCCTTTCTTCACTCCATTTTTGTCAGAGAAAAGAGTTAACCCCCTCTCCTGCATTTCCCTTTCCCCCTCTCTTCTCCCTCTTCTTCACAAACCGATCCCTAAACCAGCAACAACAACACAAAAATAGCCTTCGCCTCTGCCATCTCCATCTACTGAACGCATTGGTGGCAAGACAGGACTGCAGAAGCAAAATTTTCTAAAATCAAATTAAATTTTTTGAAGGAGACCTAACCACGAAAAAAGAGTAAAGCAACAATGCTAATAGTTCAGATGGTTGGTTTTGATGTTATACATTGCTTTTGTTCTGGTCTCCAGTATATCAACTGCACGATTTAGAAGCAAGTCCTCCTGTTTGTGTCAAACGGAAACATTCATGGGTTGTTAACTCCCCTGTTAGTGTAAAAGCAGTAGCAGCGGCAAAGAAGTTTGACAACACAGCAAGCACCCAGGCAAAATGATATAATGCAGTAGGTGATATGTGTCTCGAAGGTTTTGAGTTACTAAAGGTCATATATCCAATTCACAAACAATTAAGCCATAAAAAATATCATACATCCACCACCTTTGATTGCCTAAATTTGGTTTTTCGCAAAGTTATGGACTCTTAAGGGTAACGTTCATGGGTAGTTTGTTTCATAACTCTAGAGAGCACAGTAAGCAGCCACCAGCCAGACACAGTGCGGTAGGCAAATATGATTCTCAATTCACAATTTCTCACCACCGGAAGTAAGAACAGACCATAATAAGCGTAACATTCATGGGTGGTGTGTTTCATAGCACTACCACACAATTTGTTAAAAAAGAAAGAAAGGTATTTAGCACCACGGTGGAACAACTTTTACAGGCCAACAACGACAACATGCTGCAACCACCAGAACTGGTATCACAACTCATAGGGAAAATCAAAAGAGCAATCGTCAAGCACATACACCATCACAAAAGTCACGGAACCTGATTCACAAAGCATTCAAACATTTGAGGACATTTCTGCAAAGGTACAACTTATATGTCTTTTTTCCAAGCCATTTCCATACATGCTAATAAATTTGCAATGCATAAAACAAACGGGCCAAAACTTGAAATTCAGCCTGTTCGATCGACCCATGCCAAATTCTAATTATTCTTTACTTTTAAACTTTCTATTTGAAAATAAAAAAAAAATAGTGAAAGAAAAGAGACGACTACAATTCGCCATTTGCACATCACTTAATCGAGATTAAAACCATGGAAATTCAAAAGGAACTGAAAATGTTTAGGATCGTTATAATGTTTAAAATAACCAAATAGATCGTTATGTTTAGTTTTTTACTAACAAATACCAAACGATTCCCTATAAAATACACTATAATTTGATCATTGTGATATCAAATAATTATAAAATATATATTTGAAATGATAAAAATTGGACTAATTGTGTTGGTCGAGGTTGAACCATTGAATAACTTTAAAATACATTATATTTTAGCCACTAAGATATAAAATAATAGCATAATAGAAAATAGCTTGTTTTAGAATGACAAACCAATGATGTTCATTTGTTTTACTTGATGGCCAAATCCCATGTAGGTCAGGCTCATTCAACTCTTTTATTTTATGGTTAGCGGTTAGCCCATTAGATACCATGCATTAGTTTATTGTTAAATTTTTTATGTTTAACAATAAAAAGGAGTATTAGTTTTTCCTTTTCATATATATTTTATCACCACGGAGAAATAAAAGGGTTTAAAGAAAAAAAATTGACACTCCTGGACCCGTTTAAATTCGCATGTGTACGGTAAGTTGGCCCGTTCCACAGAGGAAAGAGAAAAAAATTGACACTTCCTATTCTACCCTTCCTACAAACACTCATGGAGCAGGGAATTTGAAATGGGGGAAGGGTTTTTTCCTCCCTGCTATTATATGTTTTTAATTTAAAAAGATACAACAAATGTGCTTAGTGTGATTGGTTATTATCCTTGCTTTTCTTTAAAATGGTCATGGTTCGAATCCCAGTACGTGTCTTTTTAATGAATAAAAAAAAGCAATTGTGAAGACCAAAATGTCCTTCCTACTTTCACTCTCGTTGCAGGAAATTTGAAATGGAGCTCCCGTTTTTCCCTTCGGCGTATTATATTATGTGTAGATAGGTCGCTTCTTTATTCAACCTACTGGAACTAATAGATAAGGAGTGTCTAATTTTGCGCCTTATTACTTTGATCGAGTCTATTCGTATATTGGAGATAACCCTGATTTTTTCGTTTGCTCTCAAGTTGTGATGGTCCCCTTTTAGCTGAGTTTTTAGTATATAGATGACTTGAATCAACAACTCTCCATTTCTTTTTGATTAGTGACATATTGTTTCTAAAAGGAGAGCATTGAACCCTTTATATAGGATTGTGAGGTTTAAGATTTAGTTTCAAACTATCTATGGGTTGTGTGAGAATTTCAGTGAGCTTTTATACTCTATATTTCTTGACTGTCAAAGAAAACTAACCAATAGCATTTTAACAGGGACTTAATTAGCATTATGAAAATGGGGTCAATGATACATTTTTATATTTTATATTCTTAAATGATTATGATATTTCTCCGAATGTTCGACCTATATATTATTTTGTTATGTATCAACTCGATCAAATGATTATCAAATAATTAAACGGGTTAATAGACTTAAAAGTAACATAAAAATACAAATAATCAAATATGAGCATTCCGGCCAAAGGGTCGGGTTATAAGCTAGTTAAATAATACAATGAACAGTATTTTGTGAAAGGGCTTGGGATTAAGCGTGATTTTCGTAAGGAACAATGAAGTTACCGATTGGTAACTTGCGCTATGAATTATTTAATTAATTAGATAGCTTTTAATAGATGGTTAATGTTTCTTGAAAACTGGAGAAAATTAAGTTTTCCTAAGATTTTAAAAAAAGTTATGTGAAAAATACAATATTTTTTCACCCATTCGGGTTGGTGTGGAGTACTGCCATCATGTTATGCTTTATTCTAATGATTACTCACCCATTCGGGTTGGTGTGGAGTACTGTCATTTGCCAAATGTCTGTTCAAATTGTTTGTTGTTTGGTCCATGTGATTGTGGAAGCAAGCTATTGAAGAGGGTCTGGCGAAGGAAAGAGGCTGCTCAAGTGGAAACCGTGGTGAATAAGCTGAAAGATAAAGGCTTAATACACCTGCATAGTCATAACTTTGCACGTTATGACAATAATAGCCACATTTTTAAAAATATACAAATATAGCCATTTCGTCAATAATTTTAACGAAATAGTAATAAATGCTGACTGTACTAACGATTTTTGCTTATGTGGCAATTTTCATAAAAAAACTATGCCTAGCTGGAAATTATTCTTTTTTAATTGACAATTTCTATAAAAAATCTCATATGCCGCTTATGCTTTTCGTCTTCATCGAAGTTCTCCACCCTCAATTGATTCGAGAAACCATATCTCCGCCTTGAAAATTCCCAGATCGCTTCAATTATCACCATCAATAGTTTCATTGAAGCCCTGCAGGCTACGAGACTTCTTCCCTTCCTCTTGTTCTTCTCGCCGCTGCCAATCTCCGGCTGCGTCCACCAGCTCTGTCGCTGATTAGAAGCAAGCGGCATGGCAGACAGTGGCGGATAGATGGCACTCAAGACACCCCTAAAATTTGGGAACACGATTATTCAACCCCCGATAGTAGTTTGCATATACATGAAAAATATTTAAGTGATAGCGAGACACTCTTAAAATTTGGAAAAATGATTATTTAACCCCGAGTAGTAGTTTGTGTACATGTAAATAAAAATGTTTAAGTGGTAGCTTATGTGATTTGAACTTTAGTCACTTCTGTTATGAGAAAACATATATTTCATTAGACCACAACTCATTTGTTCTTGTATCTTAAATCCAAATATACTAGTAAAAAGCTATTTATTATCCCCAATTATTTTCAAAAGCTAACGATTAACCCAATTACGGACTCCCTTTGTCTAGTTAGAAATATCGATATAGATTTGTAGAGCATTGTTAGACATCGATTATATTTTATAATTTTTTCTGAATACGAAACACGTCATGTGCTTTGTTCTATTTTGTACAAATCATATATTTCTTATTAATAATTACTAAATTATTAATTTAATTAAAGTTTTAGGAGAGGACACATCTATGTAAAATTTTTGGATCCGCCACTGATAGCAGAGCACCGAGATCGGGACGGCGGGGACTGGGTTGCTTCAATCCGGCCAAGATGACAAGAAAGAGAACGATTTTGTCTATGGCGCCGATGGTAGGAGGGAAGCGTCGAGCTTGGAGAGAATTGATTTTCCCAACTCACAGGTGCCAAATTAGACAGAGATGGAGGGTTTGAGTTTTTTATTTTAGAATTTATGGGTCTCCCTGCTATTTCTCCACTTCTTCCTTCTCTCCGCATTGCGATTTCTAGGTTACGTAAGGATTTTGGGAATGATACAGAGGTTGGAAGAGATGGAGGGTTTGAGTTTTTGTATTTCAAATTGGGTTGCATGAGCTTGGTGGGTTTTGGGTTCCAGAACATCCCCACACCAACATTGATTCTTTGTTTTTTGAGATTCTCATGTCACCGTTTATGGGTTTTATGGGGGGAAGGGATGGCGACTGGCAGTACCCATCTGGAAATATAAACCACACACTTGTTTCATTCCATTACAAAGGGAATGCGAATTCCTACAATGGAATGAAATTGAAAGGTTTACCGGTCGGCGGCTTCGTTGGTCCACCCCAGTCCTTGATTTTGGTGATCTAGAGGCCTCCATGGCCGGGATTCGACGGCGTCGGTAGCAGTGGAGGCTAGGATATTTTGATCCTTCCACTACCAGTATGAAGGAAGGTAGATAGAACAATTGGATGGGCAATAGAATAGGAAGCAGAAGATTGTGGGGTAGATCTAGGTTGCCGACGGACATCGGCGGCGGATGAAGACGGTGATGGGGAGAAAAAGGTGGGAGGAAGCAATGCCTGTTTTGGTGCGCGAGAGGAAGAACGTGAGAAGTATTAAAGAGTCGTCGGAGGAAGTGAGTCGGACAAGGAAGCGGAGAAGGTGAGCGGTTGCGGGAGAAGATGAGCGGTTGCGCAGAGCCTGGGCGGACAAGCAAGCAAATAAAATAAAAAATTATTTTCTCAAAAAAATAAAAATTTTAATATGACATGGCGTACAGGTGGAATGGTTTGAGTAGCTGGAGATGACGTGTCGTCCAAATGTCATCCACATCAGCATAACGTCCGTGTTACTAACGGAATCACTAACGACGTTAAAGTTTTTAACGAAAAATGGCTAGATTTGTCAAATAAGTTTCGAAAAAGTGGTTATATCTGTGTATTTTTCAAAAATTGGCTATTATTGTCACAAACTGGATAGTTATGGCTATCCATGTGTATGTTGCCAAAGATAAAGGTAAGGGGGTAATAGAATTAGAGGAGGAGATTGTGAAGTTGAGTGAAGAAGGGAGTTCTGTGGGAAGTCAATCATTACCTATAGGAGGACATGTAGTTGCATACTCCTCCTCGGCAAAGTTATTGCGTACTAACTTGGAGAAATCCTTCCAGGAGGCTTTGGAGTCTACTAAAATTGCCTTCGAAGGCTGATTTTCAACGGGTTATCAATGGTGTACGACAGTAGATGTGGTCACCAGGCAATCCAACGAGTGTTTTACAAATGGATAGTTCCTCCTTTGTAGTGCTCACTGATTAAGGGGATCGAGAGGTATGCCAGCTACAAGTAGCTCATGTTAAGGGTGATAGGAAGAGAGGGCATAAGCCCTCCTCCTCTTAATGAATATCCTATTTTGGAATGTGAGGGTGTTTAACAAACCCCCTAGGGGTAATTTGGATAAGTGTTTTTGATGCAGGATTCTGATTAAAATCTATAATTGGGCCGGATTTTAAACAATACCATGTTTGGAAGAGATGCAGGTTTTTGCAATTAGGGACTTTAAAAACCCTCAATCGTAGGATTTTGAAATAGCTGATGGACATCAACTATTTCACAATCACTCATTTTTTCGACATCAATTCCAAACTTTATCCCTCGCCAGTTGCTTTCAGTTCTCTACTTCTTCTTCCTTCTTTTTCTTCCGTCCCAGTTCATCACGTAGTCTTCCTTCTCATATGTCTTGCCTTCCGTCCCAGTTCATCTCGTTGTCTCCATCACTACCGCAAACTTTTACCCCAGATTCCAGTGGAACTGGTGCAAAGGATTCTCAGTGTTGGGTTATGGGTTTTTGGCGAAGAAGGCGCTGATGATGGATGTTGATGCCGAAGTTCGCCGCCATAGACGTTGATGCTGCAGATCTAGAATCAGAGATGACGATGGAGTAGGAAGTCCTATTGCAACGCTGCAGAGCTTTGGAATCGGTGGTCAGTGGAGACAACGAGATTTGGAATCAGAGATGATGATGGACCATGGCACACGAAATACAAATCAAAAGTTGGAGAACAACTCCAAAACATTATACATCCCCTTTTCATAACCCCAAAGTTGTCTTCCTTTCGGCCGAGAAAAGAGAAAAAATATTGCAAACAAAGGGAAGAGAGGGTTTCACCATTGTTAAGTGTTGACGATGAAGAAAAGATTGGGTTAAAATTGGGGACACAATTGTAATTTTAAGGCTGTCTTTTGAAAACCCTCGTTCGATTCCAAACGAGTTATTTCTTGTGAATCCTATGTTTAAATTCCCTAGTTTTTTAAACGCGGTATTTTAATCACAATCCTAGGTTTTAGAAAAACCTCATCCAAATGACCCCCTAAGAGGAGGGATTTTATGAAATCCCTCAGAAAGTATAAGGTGGATGTGGTTGTTGTATTGGAGATAAGGGTTAAAAGAAAAGGCAGAAAAAGTACTGAAAAATTGTTTTGAAGGTTGGGAGAGAGAGCTCAATTATGTGGATTCGGATCTCGGAAGGACTTGGCTCTTCTAGTCACCAACTATTAAATTACATGTCATCAAGATGGGTTAAAACTTTATACTTTCTGTTACTAAAGGCATGATGATGTTCTTATCTTTGTGACAACAGTTTATGGATCAAATGATGAATTAGAAAGGCGTGGTACTTATGATGAAATAAGTAGGTTACAGGTGAAGTACAGATCTTGGATAGTAGGTGGAGATTTCATTGCAGTGGTTCACCCTTTGGAGACTTCTAATCTACTTTCTAAGTCGTCTAGTATGGTTGATTTTGAGCACTTGTTGAATGATATGGAACTGATGGACTACCACACAATGGGACCTTTGTTCACATGGGCAAATAATCATACAGGAAATCATATAGCTAGACAACTGAAAAAGTTGTGGTGAATGTTGAGTCGGTAGAGAGCTTTCCAGACTGTTCTATGGAAGCTGTAGTGGCCCCTTTCTCGGATCACTATGGCATCCTAGTTGCTTCAACTCCTTTGATCAAGTCTCTGCCCAAGGCTTTCAAGTACTTCGAGTTCTGAGAAACACATCCGGAGTTTCTCTCTATTGTGGAGTAAGCTTGGTATATTGAAGTACAAGGATGCCCTTGGTATGTGATTCATTGCAAGATGAAATCTATGAAGAAAGCTCTTCGCAAACTAAACAGAGAAGTTTATAGTGATATTAGTGAGAAAGTCAGGCAGGTGGAGCAACAATTGATGACACTCCACCAAGAATCTTTGATGCATCCTGATGAAAATTCTTCCAGGGCAAAGAAGGCTATGCAACTTCAATATGATGAGCTAAGAAAGCAGAAGGATAGCTTTTACTGGCAAAAGTCGAGGATTGGTTGTTTGACTAGGGGAGACAAGTGTAATAAATTTTTTCATCAATCGCTAAAAGTTCGAAATTCCAAGAAAGCCATAAGGAAGTTGATAAGTGAAGCTGGGGAAGAGTTGGTGGACATCGAGTTGATTGCGGATGAGGCTGTGAGTTATTACAAGAACCTATTTGGTGTGGTCAACAAAAATTTGTTGTGAATGAGGATCGTATTATACCTATGATTACTAAAAAAGTACCAGAGGAAGTTCCTCGCTTACTCTATTCTCCAGTGATGCCTAAGGATATAAGAAGGGTCTTTTTTTTATCTCAATAGTCAGAAGGCAGCGAGTCCTGGTGGATTTTCAGCGGGCTTCTTTAAGAAAACATGGCAGTTAATTGGTGATGGCATCGTTGCAGGTATCTTGGATTTCTTCTCCACTAATAGAATGTTGAGTGGTATTAAAGCAACTGTGGTTTCTCTTTGTCCGAAAATTGCAAATGCTGAAAAACTAAAGGACTTTAGACCTATCTGATGTGTTAATGTGCTATATAAATGTGTGTCAAAGATTCTTGCAAACCGCATTAGGGATGCAATACCTCACATTATCAGTGATAATCAAACAACTTTCATCCAGGGTAGAAGAATAATGGACAATATTCTATTAGCTCAGGAATTAGTTACTGGATATCAGTGTAAGCAGCTCTCTTCGAGGTGTGCCATTAAGGTAGACCTAATGAAAGCTTTCGATTCAGTTAACTGGGAATATTTGTTCAAGTTATGGAACTAGTGGACTTTCTAGCTCAGTTTAGAGAGTGGATTAGAGTTTGTTTATCTACTACACATTTTAGTATCAGTCTCAATGGAGGGCTTTGTGGGGTTTTCAAAGCGAGAAAGGGAATTAGACAAGGAGACCCTTTGTCTCCGTACCTCTTTTGCATTGCTATGGAGGGACTGTCTGGTCTATTGAATAATGCTAGCTCGCCCAAGCTTCTGCCTTATCCTCCGCTATGCAGTAAGGTAGGGCTAAATCACTTGAGTTTTGCGGATGATCTACTCATATTCACTACAGGGTCTGGTCAATATCTTCTTCGGGTAAAATCTCTTCTCAAAGACTTCTACTATCTTTCTGGTCTAAAGTGTAATATGGGGAAGTGTGAAGTCTACTATGGAGGAGAATCCGTGCATTTTAGCTTACTGCTATTGCGGTTTCTGGGTTTAAGGTAGGAGCACTTCCAGTTCATTATCTTGGACTGCCTCTGCTATCAAGAAAGCTTAGCTCGGCTGATTGTGCAATTTTACTTGACAAACTCACGATGCGTATCTGATCTTGGAGAGCAAAGAGTCTTTCATATGTAGGAAGACTGCAGTTGGTTACCTCTGTGTTAGTGGGAATGGTTCAATACTGGTTTCGGATGTTTGTTTTCCCTAAGAAGTTCCTGCGACAGCTACAGAAGGTATGTGCTGATTTTCTTTGGCATGGTGGAGAGGCTGGTCGTGCAAAGGTAGCTTGGGAGAGAATTGCTTTACCACGCATAGAGGGTGGAATAGGGCTACGAGACCTTCTTGCTTGGAACCAAGCATGCACTGCCAGGATGCTTTGGATCCTCATGATGCGTTCTGGAGCTCTTTGGGTTGCCTGGATGTTGGCTTACCGCTGCAAAAATGGGGATCGATGGACTATAAAGATTAATGCTTCAAGTTCATAGGCATGGAGGCGTATCCTGAAGTTAAGGGCTGATGTTCACTCGTACATGGGGTTGTAGGGGACTGTAGGCGTGTGGAATGGGCAACATATGCCTTTGTATTTTGTTAGTCGTCTATATGATACACTCCGTCCTCATGGCAGCAATATGGTCTGGTATCACCTAATATGGGATAAGTTCTCTATTCCATGTTGGAGTGTGATTGCTTGGATTATGGTCATGAATGCTATGGTTACTATTGGACAGTGATGATGGATGTGTTCTGTATAGGCAGAGTAGTGAGACGAGGGACCATTTGTTTTTTGAATGTAGTTTCTCGCAGAGGGTGATGTGTGGCATGGATCTGGGTTTGAGAAATAGTACGTGGGATTCCTGGCTATTAGAGGACTGTGTGATGACTTGGTATTTGCACATGTTTCCCCCTTTGTTTCTTGATTGTTTGAGCTTGAATTATTGCGTCTTTGGCCTATTTTATGCTAGGTTGTGTTCCTTTGTCCCATTTCAGGTCCTAGCACATAAAGTGAAGCATAGGCGCAAGTTTCAAGTCAATCAGAGATCAATTGACGATTCGAGAGAAGAAACTCGGGCATGACCTGAAGAAGAATGGATTTCTACCTCACTTTATGGACAAAGAATCATGCAAGCTTGTTATGAAACGAAAGAGGACGAGACTACGAGCGTCTGGGATCAAACGGCGATTGATTCGGAGTCCGGACGAGGGAGAAACGAAGCATTAAACAGAGGCTGAGCAAGCTGCACGGGCAGACCAGCGTGGCCACGCACGGCCGTGCAAGTGACCATTTTGGCCGTGCGGGATTGTGCGTGGGCACGCACGGGCACAAGTGAAATCCGCACGGCCGTGCAACATACAATTCTGGCCGTGCGAGTTGGCTGAGGTTCAACTAATTGATACGCCGCGTTTTGAGGTGCACGGCCAGAATGGTGATGTGCACGGCCGTGCACCCTGGCCGTGCGAGTCGGGAATGGCTGTTTTTAACCCAAATTCGAGCCAAAGGAGAGAGAGAGCTGGGTTTTGGATCCCAAACACCCAAGGGACGAACCCTAGAGAGAGAGAGCGACTTGGAAACTTTCTTGGAGCTATTTTGGAGGATTTCTTCGCCATTGGAGCTCGGGAATCAAGCTTGGAGATGGAGATTGAAGATCTAGATCAGATTTCTGCAGTCTCTCTCTTCTCTATGGAGTAACTTCCCTTCACTTAGGTTTTGAGGAACCTTAGTTCCATGAGTTAGGATCTTTCTTGTATGAAGTTTTGGATGCTATATTGTTTGATTATAATCGAATGATGCATGTTTATTGAGTCAATTGAAGTCTGATCAACTTTTCCTGATTCCTGCTGCAATCTGAGATAGATAGAATCTGATTAGGTTGCTAGAGTCTCATCATTCGGTAGTAGGAGATTGGCTATACGAGAGTTAGCCAGTTTACTGCTTTGTACTGGAATCCAATTCCAGTAGTGGAGTTCTGTGCTTATTGCTTCAGCTTTCTATCCCGGTGAAGACTAGTCGTCTGCCGGATAGTTAGACTGAGAGGGCTTGGTCAGCTTAAGAGATTCCAAGCTACTGTCGGATCTTCCGCAGTTTAATCAACAGTAAATCAACCAAAATGAATTACAACTTGGACCTAATTGAGGAGCTAGGGGGAATCATACCTAAGTGAGTTCCCAAACTGTAATTAGTAGTTTTACTTAGTTTAGTTAGTAGAGTAGTTTAGTTAATCAATCCTTAATCTAGTTTGCTAGATAATGAACTGAAGCTGAGTAATAGTAACTCTAGAGACCCGTGGATTCGATATTTATTACTTGTGCCACTATATTGCAGTCCCTTTCATTGGTTACACTTGGCCATTGTTAGGTGTTGTGTTTTAGAGCATCACTGTGCTATAGCGAGAAAACACACATCTGTGGGTAGGCTGTACTGTTTACTTTGGACATCTTTGATTACCTTCTTCTGGCAGAAGCGGTGTTGAAGAAGTCATGGGGAAAGTCCACGAGCAGCTGAAGTAGTTGTAGATCTTTGGAAATTTGATTTACATTTTGTAATTAGAGGGTTTCCGTTGCTAATGAATGATTGCCAACGGGCGGGTCTTCCTTTTGTTATGGTATAGAGAGCAGTGTTTTAGTAGTACAGTGGGAGGTGTGGGTTGTTTTTGGGTTTTGCTTTGTTTCATGGGTAGTCCCATGCTGGGATATGCCCCCTGTTGTAATCAGTTTTGGTGAGACTAATTGGTCTCACTGTTTGATTGTGCTACTGGAAAAGGAAACTAATTAAACAAAAAAAAAATATTTTTTATTAATAGAAAAAGGTATGGAACGGTGAATATTGTATTTAATAGTAAAGTAGTGGATGAAAAGTGAGAAATATCTATTAATGCTATCACTGTAAGAATATATTTTCAAGGACAAAATTCTCTCATTAATTATAAGTTTAATTATTTTGTAACTTGACTCGTTCTAACTACAACATCCCAATCGCGGGTCAAGTATAACTGGCGACCGGGTGTAGCATTAGCCAAGCAAGCAATAAGAATTTATCGTACAACGGGGATCTAGGATTACCCTACTTCAGGTTTAGGGTTCGTTATCTAGCCAAACTAGGATAGTGATTAATAAAACTAAGCTAACTAACCCAGACTAACCACTAACCTAGCTATTTACAAGGTATGGAAGTCTCCTGGTTTCAATCCCCCTATTTCCAACCCTTGGATCGATGTTGAGTACCATCCTAACTTGATCGACCCACTATCCTACCGTTAGGAATGAACTCCCTCGGGACGGACCCGAAACGGCGATGATGGACGAGTGGTGCTCTATTCAACCTAAGACACCCCTATATCGTAGGAGCTCGGTCCAATTGACTCCCTCGGGGATTGCCCGGATGATATGGTGTGAGGAGTTGTTTCCCTCCTAGGTCAAAAGCACGATTGACTCAATTACTCTATCGTTATGAGATGGACTCCCTCGGCAATGATCCGAAATAGCAAATCGATGAATGTGGTAGGCTCTATTCAACCTAGAGCAACCCTATATCATAGGAGATAGATGGAATCGAATCCTTTGGGGTTTACCCAGATGATATAGGGTGAGGAGCGACCCGAAGACGCCAAGAATGGGCTCTATGGGGATTTTCTCCCTCCTATGTCAAAAGCTCAATACATGAAAATGGGAACCCAACTCATGTCATTCATGAAAACATCCATCAATTAAGTAAAATCATCAATCAAACATGGAATGTGTCACATACATCAACATTAAACCCAAATCTAGACCTAGGTTTCTTAAACCAAGAGAAGAGGGTGAGTTTCTAGAGAGAAGAGAATGGTTACAAATTGGGCCCAAGATCTTCTTCTTCTTCTTCTAAGCTTGAATCCTTATCTTCAAGATCAACCCAAGCCTCCAATTAAACTCCAAGATCACTCAAGCACTCTCTCTCTCTCTCTCTCTCTCTCACTAGAACTCCCCTTTGGTGTTTTGGGTTCAAACCCTAGAGAAAGAAACCAATTCCTCTCCAAAAACCAGATCCTCCTTTCTCTCACCCCGCTGCTGTCATTGTATTTTCCCGAAAGTGATCAATTCATGAACGTGGTGGCCAGTTCACGATCGTGAATACCTAAACGCGTCTGTGAACTCAGTCGCCTCCAAAACGCACCGCTTTGCTTCCTGGGTTCACGGTCAATGGCCACAGTCTTGGTCTTAGAGAACGTGAACTGCCTTGTCATTAGTAACTTCTGGAACCTCGCTGGACGCCTTGGTGTTCACGGTTTGTGGTCGAAGTTCGCGATCTTAGGAGACCGTGAACTACCTTGTCCGGTCGTGAACTGCAGCTGTTTCCTGGACGCTTGCACTTCACTAACGGACTTTTCCTTGATTTTTTGCGCTTTTTGAGATCCAATTATCCCAAAACTCGTCCTCGACCCTTCCACAAGTGCTAGGACCTGAAATGTATCAAAACAAGCACAACCTAGCGTGAAATATGTCGAGGAACGATGAAATACTAAGCTAAAAAAATAAGAAATAAGGGGTAAAATGTGTACATTTGGGCCTGAATCATAACTTCTAAAGTTCTTACTAAATATTGAGAAAATTGTGTGAAAAGCGTTTTTAATTTGACATAAAGTTAAATTTGGGTAAATTTTTTAGAAAATGAAATGTGCGAAGTGTATTTCGGAGGAGAGTCAGTTTAATGTAAATTGAATGCTCTACCCTTGACCGGATTTAAGGAGAGATATCTCCATGTTCGATATCTGGGACTGGCTCTGTTATCTGGTAAACTGAGCTCTGTGGATTGTGATGTCTTGATGGAGAAGTTGACTAAGCGCATTCTTGGCGCTAAAAAGTTGTCGTACGCAGGTCGATTACAGTTAGTCTCCTCTGTATTAATGGGTGTGATTTTTACTAAGGCAAAACACGAGTCTGAGGAGTTGAGGCTTCATATCTGGAGTTTGAGAAGGAACCATAAGGTTATTCAAGCTGGGAAAAATAGAGTGAAATATTCTAAACCCAGAATGGGCATTGATTGATCTCGACTTGCCTGGGAAGGCGAAGATCAAAGGGTCCAAAGATGCTAGCTGGAGCTGCCAGAAATCCGAGTTCCATTCGGATTCCATGTTCTTTGCGGAATTACTTGTTAGTTCGTTTCCCAGTTAAATTAGGTTAACTTTAGTCCTAGTATTAGTTTGTTTGTAGTTGATTAAGCCTATAAAAGGCCTCGTTCTCGAGTTGTAACACATAGACTTGATTTATGAAGGAAAACCCAAAATTTCCCAACATTTGAGTTGTGAATTTTCTTTGTTTTGGTTGCAATCAAAACTTGATGAATCTCGGCCTATTAATCGAGCTATCCCACTTGATTACATCGAAGGAATCCCGATAGCAATTTTGCCTCCTCCCAGGTGTGAGGATTCCCTCTCGTTTCCATCCAATTTCGTCACAAAACAAGCTTCTCAAGCTTGTTTGGATTCCCATGTTTGTGTGGAGTGAGTGAAGGAGCTCAAGTTCCTTTGATTGACTGCGTGATTCTGATCAAACACCTACCTTGGGTGTTATCAAGTGGCATCAGAGCCAAGGTTCTGCATAGCGGCAACAAGGATGACGACATCAAAAGAAGGCGGCGCCGGAGCAAGTCACTGGACAAGGTCGAAGGGCCCTATCTCAGGTGACCCTGCCTTGCTACTCTCGGAACAAAAGAGGAAGAAGAAGCAGGTGGCGACAGTGAGCAAGGCGATCTACGTGGGCACCCAGCCTGCTGAAGAACGTGCAAAAGACGCGATGAGTGATACCGAATCCGTCACCATGGCGGGATTACAACAATTCTTTCAAGAACAAGTTGTTTCCCTGCTCCAAAATCAGTTGGATAAGCATGACGAGAAGTTTACAACTCTCACGGCCAAATTCGACAACTTGTCTCAACAAGTCTCGATTATCAGTCAAAAGGGTGGACCAATAGCAGCAACGCCACTCGAAAAGCAGGCGTCGACGCAACCGGAGAAATCTAGGTATCCCTGCAAGGCCGAGAAACACAGGGCATGATCAGGCTCTGGCCGAGCAATTTCATGAATTGGAACAACAATTGATGACTCTAGAAGTCAATTCTGACAACCAACAACCACTCAATCGACATAGAGGGGGATTTCCGCTGCCGAATCAAGAAGCAGAGGAAGTTCCAATCTCGAAATTGCAGGGAATCAAATTGTCTGTTATGTCCTTTCAAGGAACGATTAATGCCTCTGCCTATTTGGATTGGGAGAGAAAAATCTTGTTATTCTTCTAGTGTGGCCATTATACCGATTCACAAAAAATTGCATTGGCCACTTACGAGTTTACAGACTACGCCGCTCAGTGGTGGGAGCAAGTTCGCCACCGACGAAAACAGAACATGCGTCCTTCGGTGACGATGTGGGAAGAGTTACGAGGTCTGATGCGTGAGCGTTTTGTACCGGCTTACTATCGTCGTGAATTGCACGAGTCTCTGCAATCCATTTGTTAGGGATCGAGATCGGTCGACGACTACTACAAAGAGCTTGAGATGCTCTTGACTCGGGCCGACATTCGCGAAGACTCGGATGCCACTATCTCTAGGTTTTTACATGACCTAAACCGGGAGATTCGGAATGAGGTGGAGTTGCGCCAATTTATCGACCTAGATGAGGTAGTCCAGCTCGCAATTAAAGTCGAGAAGCAGCTGAAACTGGGGACTGACTGTCGCTTTACCCCGGTAGTGCCTCGACGGCAATTGGCCTCTGAAACTGCTCCATCTGAAGCTCTTACTTCAAATTGGCCAATGACGTCAAAGTCCATTGTCCAAATTGGCAATCAGAAGCGGCCTGGAGGAGGACTACGCAAGTTGGAATGCTACACAAGTCCTTCCAATGCCCAAACCCGAAAGCACTCATCCTCCACAATGGTGAGTACTACTCCGAGGACAACGAAAAGGAGAAGGCAGCAGATGATGAGTTCACACACAAGGAGGTGGATGAGAACCTCGAAATGGAACCTCCAGGAGAGCATTTTCTCGTCAACAGGAGAGCCCTCACCATTGAAGCCGTCAGTGAATCACAGCAGCGTGACAACCTGTTCCACACCCGCTGCACAATCCAAGGGAAAATGGCGTCAATGGTGATTGACGGAGAGAGAGCTATACGAATGTCATCAGCTTGGAAACTATACGAAAGCTCGGATTGAGCACGAGCAAGCACCATAAACCCTACAGCCTTCATGGGCTTAATGATCATGGCGCTGTGAAAGTGACGAAACATGCATGGGTTGAATTCAAAATCGATCAATATTGTGATCGAATTCACTGTGACGTAGCTCCAATACACGTTGCACACCTACTGTTGGACCGACCATGGCGGTATGATCGTGGAGTTACCCACCATGGAAGATCGAACTGTTACACCTTTGCACATGGAGGGAGGAAACTGAAGCTGAAACCCATGTCACCGGCTAAGGTTCGTGAAGATCAACGTCATCTTGAAGCAACACGCGCAAAAGGGGAGGGAGAATCGAGTAGTACGCGGGGGAAGGAAATGAGTGTGCTCGTTCACAGGATAGCTCTCACGGCTCTCCGACGCGAAAAAATGCGGCCAGCAGCGACAACCCAACATCCATGTGTTCGGACGACGTTGAGACAGGGGAAGAGAGAGGGTGAATGGGGTGGAGAGTTATGAAGCATCTCACGTGGATCAATCTGCGTCGATTCACCCCCAACTGATGAATCGAATTCGAGTACAATTGGATCTGGAAACACCTAAACATGACCAAAAATTGGAGTTATGGGTTGGAAAGGTCAGGAGCGATCCGACACAAATTGGCGATGTGGAGTCATTACAAAGGGGTGCAGAAAGCTTTAGGAATCATCAATTGGGGGCGGCGATACCAGAAATCAAAAGCCCCAATTTGACAAACACAAGTCTGGGTTCGTCCTTTTTGAATGATGACCATGGCGGGAAACTTCAAGACAGCCATTCGTCGTGGATGGAGGAGATTCGATGTTGGAAATCAATGCAGAAATTCAATTGGAAACCAGGCAAACCTCAGGATTGTGTCGAATTATGCTGGGAATCACTGTGGACGAAAACCTCAATCTGCTCGACGATGAACAATGTTTCAGAGTTCAAAAACAGAGTGTTCGAGCAGCCTACATTAGATCCAATTTGGGATAAATTTTGTCTCATTTGAAGGAAAAAAGGTCCAAGCTTTGAGGGTAAAACTTTTTCAATAGGGGGGCTTGATATGATCTCAAATCGTTGGCATTCGAGGCTTCCCTGGATTGGACAAGAAGCATGGTTAACGAGGGACAAAGAATAACTAATTTGGCTAAGTGTTTTTGACGTTTCAGGTTGCTCATTTTGGAGGCTTGGCTCTCTCGATTTTCTCCATGGAAATTCTAGTTTGACGGCTTGTTTTAACTGTGGAAAGTTCCTTTACAATGTGGAAGACTTGAAGGTTGAATTTGAAGCCTGGAAGGCCGTGATCAAAGCCATCCCAGTGGCTAATGCGAAACCGAGAAGCTTTCCGATTTTTACTAAGTCAAAACACGAGTATGAGGAGCTGACTTTGAGGCTTCATATCTGGAGTTTGAGAAAGAGACAGGAGGTGATTCAAGCTGGTAAAGATAGAGTGAAACATTCTAAACCCAGAACGGGAATTGGTTGATCTCGACTTAGCTGGGAACGGGAGGATTGAAGGGTCCAAAGATGCAAGCTGGAGCTTCCATAAATTTGAGTTCCATTCGGATTCCATGTTCTTTGCGAAATTACTTGTTAGTTCATTTCCCAGTTGAATTAGGTTAACTTTAGTCCTAGTATTAGTTTTTTTGTAGTTGATTAAGCCTATAAAAGGCCTCGTTCCCGAGTTGTAACACATAGACTTGATTTATGAAGAAAACCCCAAATTTTCCAACGTTTGAGTTGTGAATTGTCTTGGTTTTGGTTGTGATCAAAACTTGCTGAATCTCGGCCTATTAATCGAGCTATCCCACTCGATTACATCAAAGGCATCCTTATAGCGATTGTGCCTCCTCCCAGGTGTGAGGATTCCCTCTTGTTTCCATCCAATTTTGTCACAAAACAAGCTTCTCAAGCTTGTTTGGATTTCCCTGTTTGTGTGGCGTGAGTAAAGGAGCTCAAGTTCCTTTGATTGACTGTGTGATTCTGATCAAACACCTACCTTGGGTGTTATCAGGGGTGCTTCATACATGATGATGATGATGATGTTGTACTTTTGTATCAAAAGACCCCATATCAAGGCATTTTGTAGCTCTGAGACTAGAGAGAGGTTCTACTTCTTAAGCCAATCATCATGATCTTGGAGATGATTTATATCTAAAGTTACCAAAATTGATACTGCAAAATTTCGTGATAAGCTAAGGGTGATCAACCTTTAGAATCATAGTAATGAGGGTATCATTATAACCTTCCACCATGGAGGACGTTTCAAAGAAAGTTCTAACTTCCATAGATTGTAGAGTGACTGATTGTGTCCCAGAAGTGTCTATAAAAACGACCAAAGAACCCATATGGACCTGATGTTTTCCTAGATCATAGAGTGAAAGCTATCTTTCTTGTTTATTTATTACTAACGTGAACACATGCATCGTCATTCATCTCATCTGATACCTTCTCATGAAAACCTTCAAGAAGGTGAATGTAAGAAATAGGTGTTCTAGCATGAACATATCTTTGAATAAATCTTCTTCAATCCCTTCAGTCATGTATCATCTACCACCACTTCCTCATCCCTCTATATCTTGGAAAGTTCAGCTGTAGGACTTCTTTCCTCTTCTACATTGGCTAGTGTTCGAGGTGGACGTTGAAGGACTTCCAAGAGAGACAGGATATTGATATCTCTTTGTGTACTTAAATTGTGGAAGTTCTTTGACTAGGCCATTAAGTCCCTTTCACATTTATTAAGTTGATGGAAAGATGGTATGTTGATTAAGCTCCAGGACCCAAAATTTTGCCAATCCGGCTGGAAATTAAGCACTAAGATGGAAGGACTGTAACGAGCAGAGGAGGAGGGGTGGAGAAAGAACTAGGCAGAGTTATTTAGACTGGACTGGTCAAGGCTTGGGTCACGAGTTGGGGTGGAGTATCTTATTTGGCTAGTTTAATGACGTGGTAGGTCAATATAAAATTATTAGACTTTTCTATTAGCCACTTATGCAAAAAAAAAACGATATTGTTAACGAAGAATAACAGAAGGTAATAGAGAGTGCTTAAACTTGAAATATTTAACTACTTTTAGTGTACGTAAATTGAATAAAATATTTTTTGTAACCAAACGTGAATTTTTTTAATAATCCTTTACCAAACTTGCAATTTATGCTAACTTAAAGATTTGGGTAAGTACTCATTATAAGCCAAACCTTTCCCACATTTTTAAATATCAGTTGAAAGGAAATACATAATATTAGCCAAATTCTTTTCTAACGCTGCAAAATATTAGCCATTTTTCTATTACCGTTAATAATGTTGTAACTCTTTTCTTAGTTAAAATACTAAAGTTTTAGAATGTTGGCCTCCATATGTCTCTTCCAAGTCACTATCAATGTTGAAAAGTCAATATTACTGACAAACTGCTAACTGAAAGTTACCATTTGACTAAAATTTTATATTTCGAAAGGTTTATCTACTATTCAAAATGCAGAAAAATATAGGTAATAATTAGTAGATTTCTGTTGATATAGGAGGGTCGAGATGACATTTGTCTTTTTCTAATTGTACCATCAATTTTTGGGTAAATCGTGTCATATTTAGTCACTAGAAAAATTTAATATCAATTTTGGTAAATCGAATTACTAAAACAGGTCACATTTAGTCATCTTCTGTTAGCCTCCGTCCAACTCCGGTCACTCGAATTACTAAAACATATCACATTCAGTCAGTCGAATTACTGAAAAGTGCGGCACCTGTGCCGCTATATTTAATTGGTCCACGTGGCCATAATAGTGTGACATGGCAATAATAGTTAAATTCCAACCCAACTCGCGGGCCATCAACCGAGCCAACCACCAACATGGCAATAATAGTTAAATTTATTCCGCACCAAGTGGTACCCGACCCGAGAGTGGGCCCATAATTCTTGTCCTCTTTTCCAAACTTCCTATATCGTTGTTATTGTTCCAGCCTTGACGGAAGAACAAAGCTTGAAATTGAGAAACCCTAATAAATCCTACTTTGCCCACACCCCATTCTCAAGGAAATCCTAAAATCACCAATTCAGATATGCAATACATCTCCGAAAGGGCCAGAGCCGAGCTCTGATATGATTATTGCGAATTATTTTCAATCTCAGTTATAAAAGGGTCAATGTGCGGCGAGTAGATGCATGTCCGTGGAATTCCGGTGGATCTGAATTGGTTCCTTGGGGGTGGCCGGATCAGTTTTGTATTCTCAATGTATTCTCGCCGGAGCAGTTTGGACCGAGAGAAGGAGATCGACGCTGAACTGCATCACTTTCCCTTCTTTTCCTTGGTTTCTGGAGAAAAGAAAAACAAAGAAAACTGAACAAAATAATTTGGCAGAAAACGATGGGGAAAAAAGCAACGGAAAGAATTTCGTCCGTTTGGGTACGGCTTTGGTTCGGGCCAATTTCAATAATTCAGTAGGCTTTGGGCTCATAATAAATAAACCAGTACCAGTCTGGCCATGTCAGCTCCACATGGACTAATAGAAAACAGCGTCATCGGTGCTGCACTTTTTAAAGCGGCACCATAATATTGACCTGCAAGAAATACAATTGGGCCTTCTGGCCGTCCATCATGGATTCATGGACTTCTGTTACTGTGCGTCTAGCTGAAAAGTTGAATCGCGGGACTCCAGTCCAGTCCACACATACAGCCCAAATATAAAACCTCCATTGGTGGCCGGCTCCCTTTCAACGACTGCTTCGTCGCCCTGCCTACCACCTTGCTGAAGCGGAAAACGCAGAGTCTTCGCCGAGGGAGTCACGATGCTAACGGCCGACATTCCTCCCAATCAAACCATTTACATCAAAAACCTCAACGAGAAGGTCAAGAAAGAAGGTAGGATACGATCCCTTCCTTCTCTGCGTTATTTGGCTGTGGAATGAGTTGAAGCTGAAAAGTTTGAACCCTAAATCTCGCCGTCTCGCTTCATGATTTTTCAGTTCTGCTCTCTCCCGCTGCACAACTTTAGACTTGCTATAGAGTGGATGTAGGTGCTTGTATTGATTCCTCGTTACAAAGGCTTTAGGGACGAAGTATTATGTGTTGTTCACACGGAATGTGGAGTGACTCCGCTCAAGTTTGGTGTGCGCTGTTTCATCGTAGACGTATAGGTTTTGAATTTCTACTTTCTTGCGACTTCGAGTAGAAGGATGGGTCGGATTCTATTTTGTTAAGGGATGCTTAAGCTTAGCTCATGAGCAGGCATATTCTTGCATACTCTACCGGTGGTATCCCTCAAGTCAGCTACTTTGCTAATATCTTGTTGAAAACTGTATCTATTGAAAGTAGCATCTTCAAATAAAATTTGGTCTATTCTGATTTAGTAATCCACTCACACTGATAAGTAGTGCTCTTGTGGGCAGAGTCAATTTAAAACCCACAATGTAATTGCTATACACTGTTTTTAAACTCACCCATTTGTTTCGGGTTTCATTCATGTTTGTGATCGCTGAAAGCATTGTTAAGGAGTCAGGGAAGTGAGATTCAATCACTTAGGGTCCATTGACGTTAGAGACTTTCGTTGCAATGTGTCCTTTTTATGTATCCTTAACGATTGTAGCATATTCGTTCATTCTTTCAATTTTCACTGTGTCCTATCTTTTTTTCCTTTTTTCAGAATTGAGAAGATCGCTTTACTGTTTGTTTTCTCAATATGGAAGGATTCTGGATGTCGTGGCCTTGAAGACACAGAAGCTCAGAGGGCAAGCATGGGTGTGCTTCAGTGAAGTAACAGCTGCCAGTAATGCAGTGCGGCAAATGCAGGGTTTTCCATTTTATGACAAGCCCATGGTACGTCATTAGATGTGGTGCTAGTAACTTATGTGGGGAATAGGAAAGATGTAAGAATAAAATATATGAAATTTTGGTAAATTGATCAGAGCATCTATTTGAAGAACTAGTTGCTTAAGATAAGAGTTAACTATTAGGACGAAATATTATTTCAATGATGAAAGAAATTTTCTTCAGTATGTTCGCCCTCTTTCATACGATTTTATAGTTTCTCTTTGAGATCCTTGCCGTACCATCTATATTTTCTCTGCACATATTCAGGTTTGAAGAATCGCCCAATTCAATTAGTCCTATGTTCCTAGCTAAAGATACAGATCCGAAAGAGCATATTTACCTACTATATCCTTCTGCCATCATACATCTCTATAACAACACTATATTACATAAAAATAGTCTGGAGTGGCGATTTTATGTTTATAAGATCGTTGTTGGTACAGCGAATCCAATATGCAAAAACAAAGTCAGACTGCCTTGTAGAGGCAGAAGGAGTTTACGATCCAAACGCAAAGAAGAAGAAGAAACAAGAAGAAAAAGGTGATAAGAAAACTCTTGAAATCATGCATTCTCTTATGTGATTCAAGAACTTTTGAGCTCTACGCCTTCTACTAATCATGTGCCAATATCTGTACCTTCAGCTGAAAGGAAGAGGCGTGTAGAAGAAGCTCAGCAATCTGCAACAGCTAATGGCTCAACTGCTGACAATAACAGAGGCCCTGTAAGTCCTGCTGCTACTATCTGTTTATGTTACTCTGGCTATTAACTTCTCCATCACAATCCTTATAATTTATCTCCAAAGCATGTGTCTGTTAGTTCTAGATTATCTTCTTTAAGGTTTGACATCTTCTGATGAATGGTGCTTATGATTTGTTGCTCCTTGTGATGTGCAGACTTCTTTCCGCCCAGGAAGTGGTGGGGGCGAACATGAAACCATTCCACCAAACAACATTTTGTTCATTCAGAATCTGCCGCATGGAACCACCAGCATGATGTTGCATGTCTTGTTCCAGCAGTACCCTGGGTTCAAGGAAGTCAGGATGGTAGAAGCGAAGCCTGGTATTGCATTTGTTGAATTCGATGATGATGTTCAGTCATCCATGGCCATGCAGGCACTTCAAGGATTCAAAATCACTCCTCAAAACCCAATGGCCATCAGTTTTGCCAAGAAGTAGTTGGTTGCTAATTATCTACTTGTATGTATGGAGTAAGGAGAGCCATGTTAACAAAATCCGGGCCTTGTGAGACCGAAATGGCGGAGGTAGAATCATGTATTTGATCAGAAAGTGGGAATCAAGTAATGTTATAGTAGACCACTATAAGAATATCAGCCAGTGCTTTTGAGGCAGTTTCTACCTTTTTGAATGAATAATGACAATGAAGTATTTCCCATCCCCTAAGTTATTGCGTGCAAATAGTAATATGTTCGCTTAGGGGTCCTTGGCTTGTTGGATTTGGAAAATGAGGATTTTGGTTCAAAAAAACGTTTGCATTTATGAGGGATTTGTTGCATTGTGGATTCGAAGAGTATTGTTTGCATGATAGATTTGACAATTATGATGGATTTGCTATAAATCTAACTAGCCATCAAGGTCTTACAAATTTCACCCTAATATGTGGGATTTACAAGTCTGCGGGGTCCACGGATTTGGATAAAAAAGAAAAAATTCGTGGACCCCATAGATTTAACACCTAACAACAAACAACAGACTTAGTTAAAAACTTAAAATCCATCATGTTTGGGATTTGAGTATCAATAACCCAAATCAAACAAGCAAACGCTCCCTTAATCGCGAGCAATAGATGTAGTTGTTTGGTTCCCTATTAATGGTTTGAGTTGTACAATTGTTGTGTGTGTGGTCGGAACTTGTGAGCGAGGTGGGCTGCGGTTCTGATTCACTTTGACGCTCAAGTAGAGATTATGTATGGAAAAGAGGTTTAATGGTTGGATCCAAAAGTCAAAATTTTGTTCTATAGTTTAAAATTTAACCCCTCAAAAAGTGTTTTGACAATAGTGGTGAGTTTCAAATGTCCAAATTTCCATATATGCACTTTAACTCATAATCGAGTTTTCTGTATATTTCATTTTGCATAAGTCACCAATTCACAACAATAAAATGGCTTCCAAATCGGATGAAGTTGCAAGATTGGTTTCTAGAATCAATACATTATTTTTTGGTAAAGGCAAAATAAACTTATTGTCTGGCAAAATGAAAGGTCAAAGTTCAAAGAGAAAAGAGAAACATTCAGGGGGGGGAAAAAAACAAAGGGGTTTACCCCCTCCAGAAACCATTCCAGGCCAATCAACGTGTACAAATTAAGCAACCCACATTTGCAGCAAACTCGAACACATGAAGCACCCGAGTCTTCCTCTAAAAAATTCACCTTCCTTATGAGATGCTTCCACCGTCCACTGGGGGGAAGCCAAGCAAGAGATCTGGATTGGAAGTAACGCCTGCAAAGTAAAAGCACAACATTGGTACTCATCTGCGATGAAGAAAAACTCTGGTAGCAGCAAAAGCCTCATCAAGTTGAAGAGTGTCCACAACGGGGCCGACCCTAAGAATGTAGAGGCCCTGTTTTATAAATAAAATGAGGTCAATTCTGGATCGGTGTCAGAACTAGTTTGGCCACAGTGCACGTCGATGTTGGTTGTGCACAAGATATGGTCTGACATGGCAGTCACATATCTGGCTCAGGCGTTGAAGATGACACACTGGTGGTAGTGGATTGGGGGATGGCGACAATTAGGGTGGAAATCGGTACGGTATCGGTATCCCAATACCAAATACCGAAATACGAAATACCGAATTACATCCTAAATTCAATTCCAATCTCAATCCCTAAATATTTCGGTATCCCAATCAGTACTTCGGTATCCCAATCGGTATTATGGAATAAGATATTAATTAGATTTGATTGCTTAATATAGGAGAAAGAGTCTAAGCAAAGAGTCTTGAGTTTGGCTAGAGCTCGGATATGGATAAGGAGAATGGAGGAGAGGTGACATCTCAAGTTTTTATCTTTGGTAATCTTTGATTTGATGACTTGGAGGCTAAGAGAAGACTAATGCTAGTGTTTGTTTTTTTATGTTATGTAAATAACAATAGATTAGTGGTTGAGGGTCGTGTAGTATTGAATGAGAGAGTTTAGTTGAGAGCATAAAATACACATTAGCTTATATTTCGGTATTTCGGTATATACCGATCCCAATCCCGTAATCCCTAATACCGACTAACAATTGAAATTGAATACCAATCCCAATCCCAAAAACTAATACGTGTATTCGGTAATACCAAATATAGAGAAATTCGGTACGGTATTCGGTATATCTCAAATACCGATACCAAACTTCCAGCCCTAGCGCCGATGGTGGAGGGTTCTGGAGGGTCGGGTGGTTGCAGGAGATCGAAACGAAGTGTTATTGGATCATGAGCTATTAGGGTATAGGTTGGGTTAGCATATCTGATATTACGGCGCTTTTTATGACATTTTGGGTTAGAATGGAGTGATTAAGCATTTTGGTTTGCCGTGCCAACAAAAACTAATTCCGAAACTAATGTTGTTAACAGAGACGGATAGAAAGTAATGTTCAGTACCCAAACTTTGACTACTGAGTGACCGAACTTACAATTTTATCCTTAATTAAAATAATAATTATTCTTACATGGAATTCATAAACCCACACAATTGTTGGAGGTTGTGAACCCTCCATCCACCACCAAGTTGTGCCCGCTGACATACTTGGACTCATCACTCGCCAGATACAATGCCGCCTCCGCCACATCCTTGGCTCTCAACGTCGCACCACTTTTCAAGCTCGCCAGCCCGCGCACCAACTCCTCCATCTCCTCCACTTCCTCCTCCGTCGTCGCCCTCACAACCCCGTGCCCACAATCACCACCGTTACTACTGCTGCAGTCGTCCCTCGACCTCCACGCATCCACGAGCATGGAAGTCGCCACCCCAAACGGCGAAATACAGTTGACCCTGATCCCATGCCTCCCCAGCTCGCACGCCGCGTTCTTCGTCAGCCCCACCACCGCGTGCTTCGACGCCGTGTACGCGTGGGGACCCATCCCTCCCATCACCCCTGCCACGCTGGCGGTCGAGATGATGCACCCTCCGCCACCGCCGCCGCCCACCATCCACCGCGCCGCGTGCTTCATTCCCAGCGCCGTCCCCCTCACGTTCACCCGCATCACGGAGTCGAACTCGTCGGCGTCCAAGTCCGCGATGGACTTCCGGCCCTCCGACTGGCTGCCCAGGATCCCGGCATTGTTCACCATGATGTCCAGGCGGCCGAACTCGGACACGGCGGCGGCCATCAGGCTTTCCACGTCGCTCTCCGACCCGACGTCGCAGTGGACGTAGATGACCGCGGTACTAGTGGGGAAAGAGGAGCAGGAGGAAAGGGAACGTGCCAAGGCGTTGCCGACAGAGTCGAGGACGTCGGCGATCACCACTTTGGCTCCGTGCCTGGCGAACAGTCTCACCGTGGCTTCTCCTATCCCTCTGGCTCCGCCGGTTACGATCGCCACTTTACCTTCCAATCTGTTCACGTAACTATATATGTTTAATTAACGTATATTAGGCATACATATGGTTCAGTCTAACGTACGCCCGGGCATACGTTAGACTATCGTGCGACCGTTTGAGTTTTGCTATTTAGATCATGAATTAACCGAAATTTTGGGCATGATACTATACCCTAACCACTAATGGATAAACTCCAGTCCCTATTTTTCTAACCCAAATCATGAGATTCGTTTAATCTTAAAATGAAAATCAATAATAATTTCGAAGAATCATAACAGTTGATTTTTTATTTCAAGATTAAATGAATATTATGCTTTGGGTTAGTGAATTGCAGACTGGAGTTCACCCATTAGGGGTTAGGGTATAGTATCATGCCCCAAACTCCGAGTAATTCATTGTCTAAATAGCAAAACTCAACGGGCGTATGCTAGCCTTTGCCAATATATATAGAGAAAGTAGTAGATATCGTACCTTTTGTAAGGGAAGTGAGGAGAAGAGGTATCATTTGGAAGGGCAATATCTGCAGTTGAACCTTGAAGGGCTGTGGTGGTAGTAGTAGTAGTCTCAGTTGCAGCTGATGGTGGTAGCTGTACTTGATGATGGTGATGATGAGCAAGCATGGTTGATTCTTGTTGAATAAGTAGAAAGAACGAACTAACCAATATATATCAGAATGAGAGGATATATAGCTTATTTATACATACACAAAGGCTAAAGCTAGCTAGCTAGAGATGGGGGAAAGGCATATGCATGCTACTGTAGTTTGCTTAATGAAGATGCGTATGCTACTATCTACTTAATTATTAGTGTTTATATATGTATACAATTGGCTAACGTTGGAGATAAGATTTGGTGGTTCCTTACATCACCAAAACACAAGAACGTATATATATATGTATTGCCTGGAGATTCCAAAAGTGCCAAGAAATTGGGACTGGATATAGAAATGATGCATGGAAAACAGTTAGCTGGCTAGGCTTGTATGTTTTCTGCACGCAATCCAAATATTAATGATGAGATGCATCTCCAAGTAGAAGAAGAGAGGAACAAGCTAAGCCAAGCCAATCCAAAGACTACATTCTGTAACAAAAAGTCGGCCGTGCTTGCTTCCCAATCTAGCTAGCTAGCTACCTATTTGGAGGCTTTTTTGTTGGAGATACACAAAGAACTTGAGGAATCTATATAGGATGAGGATAACCGTTAGCAGTTAACATATATAACCGTTAGGGTGGGGAATCCATGTATAGGTGTCATTTCTGCGTATTGCGGTATTGCGTGAATGATCAAGCGCGCGATCTCAACCGTTAGATAAATACATTAGCGTCATCGTTAAATACTTGAATTGATTCATCAATCGAGTGAAATAATGACAGTGGTAGATAATTAATGATCCAGGGTAAGTAATTATGTTAGTGTGCATACCTCCAAAGTTGGAAACTGTTAAATCACACAGACACAAATTTCAGACAATCAATTGTCCACACTATCATTGTCTTCTCTCATTTCGCACAAACATAAAACGGTAGCATATCATACTTGATATACAATATTCTACAAATTTTTCCAATTTGACCGGAAATCAAAAGGTTAAATCCACCGCAAAAGGGCAACGATCCAATACAGAGAGTTGTTCGTGTTCCATCTTTTGTAGAGTTTCATAAAGCATAATTGTTACCACATGTTATTAAGTACAACTTTTAAATATACAATAACGCCTTTTGCATGCAACAAATTAAAGTCTTGTTATATGCTCATATCACCACTGATTACACTCTCTCTTGTTTTATTTATTTATTTTTTAACAAAGCAATGCATCAACTGAAAAAAATGATGTATATGAAGAAAAAAAATGATGCAATACTCATGGCGAAAACCTGCCGACATTCCTTGAGAAGCAAAAAAAAAAAAAAAATATAACCAACTTGTATTTGAGTCACATTCTACATTTTAACTCTATTGATAGAAGAAGTCAATTAAGAACACACACGAGGCTCTGAGGAACGGTTTTGGTAGACTTACTCAGAGCAATGAAACGCTCAAGAGTCAAATCTCAACTATTGGATATGAATTATATAGGGGTCATTAATTTGGATAAGATATTTCAATGTAGGATTTTAACTAAATAAATCGTTTGAGAAATGAGAGATTCTTAAGATTGAGAATTTTACGAATTTGTCAATGAACATTTCTATGATAGCTGATACACATCAACTATTTTAAATTTTCTATCATAAAACCGAATACTAACCTCGCTGAAAATATGATATCTGGTTTCCCTATCACTCATACACAAATTAGGGCGACAAATATTAATGTCTGGTCTCCACTTCTATACTTTATGCAGGATTAGGATTCTGTATAATGTCACTAGCCAGGAGATTAGGGAATGATGAGGGGTAGAGAACTTATTTCAGATCAACTTATTCCAATGGACTCTAAGCATAAGAGGTCTGATTATTTTCCATGCCATTTTCACCTTGAATTTTGGTATTGGATTACCATTCCATAAGGTGTCTAGAAATAGCATTCTGGTTCCTTCAACGCCAAACACAAGAACCATTTAAATGAATTTCACGAGAGATCTGGGTTATATTGTGTGTTCCATCTTTGATAGTCATTCAGGGCTTCATTTATCGACTTTCAATACTTAATATGATGTGAAAATCGTAAGTTATGCATTGAAAATAAAAAAATTTGAATGTTATGAAAATGCATAAATTTAATTTTAGGAATTATGATGGGATGAAACTCTCTCTCGAAAAATGTGTTTATTAAATTGAATTTATCTGGATTAATTAGAACATTGAGGGCAAACCCAATTCAAACAATTGTTCCAAACCAGTTTATTATTTAATCTTGCTTTGATATACTAGATCACTAATACTTGAGTAAGGTAACATACAAGATCTTAAGAAAATACGACTCTAATGACTTTTACTTTTTCAATTATCTTTGTGTGTGCTTTTAGCGACATCAACAATGAAACCCCCCACACTCTTAAGCTTTGCTCCGATCAAAACTCTCATCTCTCACTAAGTTTCAAAACTTATCTCTCCCCTCTTTCTAGAATTTGTTTTACGTCTTCTCCAGGAAGGCTGCTGTCCACGACTGATGGCACGCCCTCTATATTTCTTTACTTGTTTCTTTCTAGTCAATTTTATTTTCTTTCCAATCCTCTTTGTGGGTCTTTTTCATGATCTAAATTTAATTAGAATAAAATAAAATAAAAACTTTCATTATAAATCTAGCTAATTGTGCAAGTCCTGAGCTACAATCATACACCGACACTCTTAAAAGGAACAATATAATAAGCCTAATTAATATACAAATAAGAAAAGTTACCAAAGAATCATAGAAGGAAGTCATCATAATGATATAGATTTTAATAACCAATAACCATAATTTTGAGAATTAATTTCTTCAAGGTATGGAAGAAAGAGTAATTAGAAATTTGGGAAGATTTTGTTTATCCGAGTTGGATGAATTTTTTGTGAATTTAGAGTTTTAGTTAAACTATAGATTAGAGATTTTGTGGTTTGAAGTTAAAGAATTGAGTAAATCGTAGGCAATCACAATCCACCCAACCCACACAATCTTTAGTGGGTCGCAAATTTTACAATCCATATACACCCATAAAATTAAAAACTACCCACGACATAATAAGAGGCTCAATTGCTGGTGGATGTGTAGGTTCAATTCAACCACCGGATGATTGCCTCTAAAAAAAGATGCCAATAAAAGAAGAAAAAGCGGGTGAATATTCATGATCATAAAGGTCGGAACTGAAGTAATTTGATGTTGATTCTCCAAACATTAAACATCATAAATGTACTTGGCATATTAACATGGTCGAGTTTTGACCAAACTCAGCACATTGCATACACGCAAATTTCACAACGAACGAAGTTACTCAACTATTAGTACTAACAGTATTCATTCTTTTAGTGTGCAGGTTGTTTACACGTAAAATTTATATAAAATTATACCACATCGGTTAAATAAAAGAGATTAAATGGCTTTATAAAAGCAAATTAATTATCACAATTAAAATAAAGGAAAAATACACTTGTATAGCCAAAACTTTCACGTTTGTGCCAATAATAGCCAAATTTGGAGAAATACCACTTATAGCCACTTCCGTCCAATACTTTAAGGTGTTATCTTACAAGGTGACTGGACTAACAGCAACGGTTGACGTGACATATTTTATTCAGAAATAATGACAGGTGGAAATTCATTAAAATTTTATCCTTTAATTTTAATTAAATTAAATTAAAATATACAAAATCAATAATCTCAGTCCTCACCACCGCAGGTTCTCCTTCCCATCTTCGAAATCGCCGCCAATGTTGTCTCGTTCTCTCCTATTTCCTCATCTCCATCAACGAACAACAATAAAACCCTTTCTTCTCTTCTCCTATCGTCTTTATCGTCTTCTTTCTCTCTTCAATTCCGTCATCCATAGATTTCGGCATCCCCTGGAGTTGGTTGATTGGGATCTATCCCCAATCCCCAAAAAATATACAGGCTGCTTCGGGGTTGCTCAAGAATCCCTAATCCAACAATCAAAATTTCCTGCATTCGCCTCCAAGATTTGTCAATTTGGCTGCCAAAATCTCACCTCAATCACCTCAGAGAAACCCCACCGCTCATCTACATCGCCTCTAACCCTGCCATGCTCGTCGTCACCGAGTACTAGTGGCGGAGGACGAGAGTCAGCGAATCGAGAGCTCATCTCCCAGACCCTAGACCTCTGCATCATCGAGAAAGTCTAAAAAATATAGTGGTTTTATTCAACCCCTGTTTATTCCCAAATCCTAGATCTCACAACACGCTAGAATGGATCTAGTTGTGACATAAATCGCAGAAGGAGACGGTGACGGCGAGAGGAGGTGGCGCTTCCTAGTGAATAGGCCTATCTCTCTCTATGGACAAAGCTTGATCGAACCCAAATCTCTGCCCGCCCTCCGCTCCAACTTCATCCCATCAGATCCTCGATTTTACCCCAACAATCATCGCACAAGCCTTGCCCTCTGCTACTGCTCGACGACGGCGCGACAGTGGGGAGCGATTGGTCTCCCACCTGATGTATTGTCTATCGCCAGCCGTGTTATCATGCTGGGTAATTTTCCAGTGATTGGAATCCTCTCCGACGAGGTGACAGACTGGCTAGGCAAGAATCGACAAATCGAAAGAAGAAGAGGAAAAAGAAGAGGAGGTGCGACGGTGAGGAAGTACCAACGCCAATGAAGAGAGAGAAAGGGGAAGTGAGGTGGGGAAGGGAAGGGAAGAGCCAAAAATTAAGTAATTTATTTTATAATTTATTTTATGTAATTAATTTCTGACGTATGTAATGATGATGTGTCGCTTTTTGCTTATTTGGCACTGATGTGTGTGCTGAGTAGGAGCCTAGTCAACGAACCGTCAAAGAACTTGACGGTGTAACTAACACCATTAAAGTATCTAACAGAAATGGCTATATTTGTCATACAACAACTTTAAAAGCTGGCTATTAGTGACATTTCTCCAAATTTGGCTATTATTGGCATAAACGTGAAAGTTTTGACTATACAAGTGTATTTTGCCTAAAATAAATTAAGATGAGCCACAGAGATTGAGTTTTTCCTCCCATGGCATCTATGTCATCACGTGTGCGCCATCCGAAGCCATAAGTTCCAAAATTTGCCTACGTGTTGGTGCACCCCTATTGGTGTGATTGGGGAGGATAATCAACGTACCTCCTAGTGTGACGAGGTGGGGTAAAATTTGGCTAAGTTTGGA